CCTAAAGGTAGCTTTGCCTCTTTAAATGAACTGCAAACATGACTTGTTATCCTTGAAGTAATGAGTAACACTCTTTCTCTTGGGCTGCATTTAGTCCTTTCTACAGTCTTGGTGGCATGTTGTCTTTCCAAGAAATTCAGTGTAGTTCCTCTATGATCTAATCAGTGCAGTTTTCATTATGGTCAGAGGAACTACAGAGTAACAGATGGATTTTCAAGTTTCTCACTGGGATAAAATGAAAAGCTTCACTAGTGCTTTAATTGCACTAAAGTTAATATTTTTAAGAATGTTATTCAAGTGTGGGGAAAAAAAACTGTGCAGAATCAGAAAAATCTAATCCCGTGTCATTTCAATTGTATGGGATGCTATGCTATTAAAAAAACAAATAAAGATTAGGAGCTGTGAGAAATAAGAAGGTGCTTCATTTCGTATTTAATTCTTTAGAAAATTGAGTCCAGCTTTGGATTTTCTTTTTTTTTTTTTCTTTTTGCGTAGGATGCCTCTCCAAGAGTTCCTGGTGGATCTCCTAGGACACCAAATAGATCCGTAACATCAAATGTTGCCAGTGTTACACCTATCCCTACTGGATCAAAAAAAATTGATCCCAATATGAAAGGTACCTTTTCTTAGGAGGGCACAAATGCAGTTGGGGAAGTAATATAGCTGCTTTTCCTGCTTTCTTTAATATGCTCATTTAGATTAATTAACATGTTAAATCAGTATTTACTAAGAAAATATTTTCTAGGACACCAAATAGATCCGTAACATCAAATGTTGCCAGTGTTACACCTATCCCTACTGGGTCAAAAAAAATTGATCCCAATATGAAAGGTACCTTTTCTTATGAGGGCACAAATGCAGTTGGGGAAGTAAAATGGTTGCTTTTCCTGCTTTCTTTAATATGCTCATTTAGATTAATTAACATGTTAAATCAGTATTTACTAAGAAAATATTTTCTGTTTTGATTTTCTGTTGTGGTGTTTTTATTCCCTCCCTTCCCTTGTAGCTGGAGCTACTAGTGAAGGAGTCCTGGCTAACTTCTTCAATAGTCTCCTGAGCAAGAAAACTGGTTCCCCTGGTGGCCCTGGTGGTGTGGGTGGCAGTCCAGGAGGAGGTGGCACTGGAAGTGCTGGCAGCAACTTGCCACCATCAGCAAAGAAGTCAGGTATGATTAATGGTAAAAGAGCAACTCAATCTAAATTGCGAGTGGTGGATCATTCCTATTAGTATAGTTTATCAGGAGTATGAACGCTACTATATTTAACTGAATGTTTTACTGGATATGGGTTTTGCTTTTGTTTCACAACAGTTAAGTATTGCCTTTTTGTGGCCCTCAGACTACTATATTTAACTGAATGTTTTATTGGATATGGGTTTTGCTTTTGTTTTCACAGCAGTTAAGTATTGCCTTTTTGTGGCCCTCAGAGGATTAAAGAAAAAATGTTTCATGTAGCTGTTTAAGCACGAATTGTATCCACATGAGTTCTTCATTTTTTTCCCTTTATTCACCACCATCCCAATAAAATGCTTCATTAAAGAAAAAAATTTTCATGTAGCTGTTTAAGCATGAGTTGTATCCACACGAGTTCTTCATTTTTTTCTTTATTCACCACCATCCCAATAAAATGCTTTATGTTTTAAACCACATTTAATGTTATTCAGATATATTGGAACTTCATTTCAAGTTGATTTTTTTTTTTATTTAACAATACTGTGTTAAAACAATTTTAAATTTCCTTTTGATAGTCATCTAGTTCCGATGTGATGAAGGCTTTGTTTTAGTTTGGTGGAAGCCTGTACAAATACTTATGTATCTTCTGTTGATAGCTTTTTTTTTTATACGATGTGATTAGCAATTAGTATTAATCTAGAAATGTCTAATAGTGACTGCTCTAAAGCTAGATGCAGGACTACTCTGGTGCTTCTTACTATTCCAGATTAAAATGTATCTGTATTACTTAAGAACATACTTATACAGACTTCTTCCCTCCCCACTTCCCCAGAGGTTAGTAACGCTGCCCTCAACTGAAAATGCTGGTGTTTCATTGGGACTTGACATTGGCGTTTACTTTTATTTAGTAAGAGAAAATGAAATGTTTCCCACTAACATTTTGCGTAAACTGATCCTGTTTGGTTTTTTTTTCTTTTTTTACATGTGGGCATTTCCTTTTTTGAAATGCAAAGCTCAGACGGCTGAGCAGAGTTTGAGTGCTTCCTGATGTGCTGCAGGCAAAGCCAGCAGTGCTAGTTTGAAGGGCATATGGAAATTGTTCAAACAAACGCAGCTGATGCAATAGGAGGTACAGAGAGCACCCACTGAAAAATCCCGTGGTGGGTGGGTAGCAGCAGGTTTGGGTGATGCCAGGCAGTGCTCCAGAAAAGCGTTGTGTCTGGGACCGTGGCAGAAACTTAAACTATTAAGGAGCAAAAAACTGTTCTTAGAAATTTGCTAATATGCAACAAACGAAGGGTTAGGGCGTCATCACAAAGGATTAGGTTTTCAAGAAATTACCATAAATACAAATATGTTTGGCTTACATGTGGCCTCTTCGCCTTCCCCACTTCTTGCTGCCTTGTGTTTAGGGTTCTGTGACACAAATGTGAAAAGTGGCTGTTAAGACAGTAGTTTGGGACTTGAGAATTCCTTTTTGCCCTCAGTAGCTATGGGAAATTCCTCCGGTTATTAGTTGGAATATTAGCTGCTTTGATTCTAATGTAGTATTAGCTTTCGTTAAATGATGCGAAGAGCAGCATAGTACATCTAGGAAAAACTTAGCTTTGTGGATAGTTCCTGTTAATTTGCATCTTCAGAAAATGTGGGAAACTGCTAAAACTACATGTGTGTCAGAATTTTCTTTTACAGCCTGAGACACTACACACACTTGGCACAGCATTAGACTAATATTCTGCACTGCCTTATCCCATATTGGGTTCTCTGTTCTTGGGAGTAGAATGTGGCCGGACAGAAACTCCTAGACTGGGGAATAAGAGTTAAGAGTAAAATGGTGGGGGGAAGATGGTGTGTTTTAAGCTGGGATCAGGTCTAAGTGTGACTGCACAAATGTCTGTGCTGTTCCAAATCAGGGAGACGGTGAGCTTGTGAGGAGAGAAAGGGGTTTGCCACCTGCAGGTCTGTGTGCACCCGTGGGCAGCAGTGCCAGGTTTATGCTGACCAGGTACCTAGAACTGGCTTCACTGGTCTGTGGTGAAACCCCTGATTTACATTCAGAATTATTTAAAGTACACATGATGCAGGAAATTGTGTAGAAATATTCAAAACTGCTAGCCTTATTAGACTTTTCTGTATTTTATACTTTACATTAACTCTTTATGCACTGACAAATTATATATAATTATGGAAGTTCCTTTGAGAAATTGGAAATACAGAAGGATGTGTCTTCTCTCTGCTGCTTCCTTTCTGTTCCTTTTGGAGTTTGGACTTATTATGTCTTTATTCTGCACCCAAAGTGCACAGTAACAATTTTTAGGATTTGTCTGATTTGAGAATTAAAGATACTCTAGGCTTTCCTACAACTGTTTCATAAACATGACTGAATGATATGCACTTATTTTGTAGGTCAGAAGCCAGTTCTAACAGATGTTCAGGCAGAATTGGACAGAATTTCACGAAAACCTGAAATGGTCTCTCCTACAACACCTACATCTCCCACAGAAGGTGAAGCATCTTGAAGACACCAAATAAAACCAATTGTTGAGTTTTCTGGGATAATTCAAACTTGCCTCTGCCTCTTCCTTCAGTGACTGGAGCTAAAGAACTGAAATACCTTTCAGAACACAAACAGTTGATGTCTGTCTTTCTTTCATATGTGTTGCCCAACTTTACAAAAGGGAGCTGTACAGATGGAAAACGGTTATCACATCTTGTAGGAGTACCGTTCACAGTGCAAGAATAGTAAATTAATTTTTTTCTGGGTTTTGCTGAAAAGTGTAATTCTGTAAAATTGCAAGTATGTCCACTTAAGTGATAGGGGTTGCTTAGAGCAGGAAAACTGATACACACCACAGGCACTTAATTTATATCGATTTCCCAACCTGTTAGGCAAGCTTAATACTACCTTAAATAGATTAACCTCTACAGGAGAGAGTTTTTGGAAGAGAAAATGAATTGCACAAAGCTGTAACAACAAACTCCAGTTATACTTGAACACTTAATTTGGGGTATGGTTAAAAAAAAATCTGTTTGATCTCCACTGAGATTTACACTGCATTCAAAAACCCATGCAAAAATTCATTCCAGAGATAAGACTAAATTAGTGGCCAGATTTTTTGATTTTTCTCTTTGATTAATTTCAGACACTGAATAAAAGATGTATAAAGAAAAAGCAGAGGTTAAATGTACAGATTATCAGTATCCAGATTTGTCTATATATATATGGCTCAGCCTTAATGTCCCCCACTGTTTCCCACATTAGTTATGGTTTAAAATTGGTCATCAAAACTGTAATCAGTTAATAAAGTATTCTCTGCATTCAAATTTAAATTAATTTGCATTGAAGCCATGGTGTTCTTGTTTGTTTACAGTTAAATCTAAGGATGTGGTGTAAAACGTCTTAAAACATGCTTTTATATTTTACCTCTCAGCAACTACTATATTTAAACTTCCTTAAAACCTTGTTTCTGGAAGGAAGAGGAGAAGTCGGCAGTGTTTGTTCCTAGGAGTAAAACTAGTTTATCCGACTTGGGTGGTTTCTGCTGCAATGTGTTTTGAAAGCACAAGTTACCCTAAGGATCCTGCTGCTGACTCCAGTATTTTGTCTAAGAAGTAGTTGACTGAAGTTAGGACTTTACTTAAGCTTTCAGTACACAAATGTTGAGCTTTATTTTACTCTTCTGTGTGAAGTTTGTGGTCTCTTTCTACTGATGGCTACAGAATAGAAAGTGTAAAAGGTATATCCTGATCAAATGATTGCCAAGAGACTTCTTTAATGAGTTCAGGTTTTCTAAACCAGATTTCTTTAAATCAGTAAGTCTTATGTTAATTTCTCTGATTACTGAGAAAACTTCTGAAATGCTAGAGAGGAGGGGGTGAATCCTCTTTATTTTGAACATGGTGATACCCTTCTCCAATTCCTGTATTCTGTAGTGTTTCTAGTGAACTACCCCCATATTTTCAAAATACCTAAATTTACTTAAGAACAACATATTTTCTTGCACATTGAACTCCCTAAAGTTAAACATTCTTGTTAAAATTGGCTCTGAATATTGAATTGTGGACTGACAAGTTTCAGTAGAGATTCTTAACTATGGATCAGTTGTTCAAACTGGAGTCCTTAAAATTTTGCTTATGGCGGTGGTTCAGTAAAGGAGGCATATGGGGAAATGCATGACCTGCTGATGAACAACTTTATAAAATAAATGGAAGAAAAAAAAAAATTAAGCTTCCAATCGTGGATGCGTGGCATGCATCAGTATCAGAGCACTTCTCTAGAGTCTGCATTGAAACTTCTTGAAACAGAACTTGAAATGTGCTTGAGAGAATGGGTCCGGCTCATATCGTCATCAGTACCCTTCTTACTCCAGTGGTACGTGCTGGTAGGGTCGACTCTGGATTTTAAGGCAACACCTTTGGAAAGAGAACTTCAGCTCCTGCAGTCTATAATTTAGTTCCTTTGGGCATCTGTCAAAGTACAACACCGTTTCCAAAGCTGGAAAACTACATGTGTCATATATTAAGAGTTGTTATTGCCCTTTTTTTTTTGTGGAGGCTGGGACAGGGGAAAACTTTACGAATGACTCATTATAATTTCACTTCTTAAAACAAAGTTGGCAAAACGTCACTTCTGCATATTTAAAAAAAAAAAAATACAAAAAACCCCAAAACTTTAAGGTATCTTTACCACAAAAGGAAAACATGTGAGAATGTGTTTCTATGTAACCTGATGGCTTTGGCTTCTCATTCCCCTCTGATGAGACCAAGGCTCCAGGGCTGGTTGCTTGGTCCTCCTGAGTTGCAATGCCCTTGCCTGCTGCTTTGATGAGAGTAGACAATTAAGGTGGGATTTACCAGAACAATCATGCAAAATGAGTCTCTGTGACAGAAGGCCCCTCTCACAAAACCTGGTTCCTGTGAATCCTCCCTGTTCTCCTTTGCTCACCATCAACTCGGGCACCAAAACTAAATAATAAATAAATTGGGTAGAACAATTAAGCTGATTTGGCGGCAATACGTCTGTGTAATCCTTTACTGTGCTTTCATGCCCTAAGCTGGAGATGATAGGTTTGTGATGACCCCAATTTTAAAAAAGAATAACAGCGTGAATAACTTTGATTAGAAACAAAATTACTCTTGTGTGCCCTTCAGTGTTGTTTGGTACACAGTTTCAGTCTCGCACACAAGATGCAGAAAACAAAGAGCTAATTAATACAAGAATTACAGGGGATCGTTTTTGACAAAGAACAATTAATACTTTTTAAATGCTTTGCAGTATGAATACTGCAAAAAATTTTACAAAATAAACAAACCAAATAAATTCCTTTAGACTTTCAGGGCTAGTTCTGTGTAGAGAAGGAGCTGATTAGCTTCAAACTAAACTGTTTTGGGGGAATCTTGCAAATCTCCTTCCTCCTCCTCTCTACCATGTTCCTACATCAGTTCTTTGAGTATACTGGTTGTAATAAAGCTGCTCTGCAGATTTTAAGCTTGAAAATTTTGGGTAAATGGCCACTTTATTTCCAGACAGTTCATGTTTTTCAGCTGAAAATGGCAGTCCCTGAAAATGTCCATGTGACTTTTAGGTTATATGAACTAGCTACCATACTTAACCTTACATTTTTAGTGACACATCTGAAATGCCAGTACCAGCATTTGGGGCTGCAGTCTCTTCTTGGGAAGCAAAATTAATTTGCAGTAGGACATCTGCAGCTGCAGAACTGTTGTCTGTGGAATACCTCACGGGTTTATGTGTCTCTGTGCAGTGCAGACACGTGCAGAAAACCACAGACAAGAGCTGGCCTAACCCTGCATTTGGGACATGTGGAGAGTTGAGGGTTTGTTTTTTTTTCTCTTGTACCATAAGGGATACTCAGAAATAGCTGTTAAAAATGCTAATTCTTCATCTTCAGCTGTTTAGAAATCACACATTCTAGCGTGTTAGTATGGTAATTGGGGTTTGTGAAGTTCAGTTGCAACACTGAGCCCAAAAATAGAGCCTCAGGAGCTGAAGGAGCTCCAGCAGATGCAACACGGTCAAGTCTTTTCTGAGCTCTTTGCTGTGGTACTTGGAATATTCCATTTGCAAACTAGTCATCCAGTATTGACTTCGTGTAACACACAGGGCCGGAGTCCCAAACAAAAGCTGTTGAGATGCCGTGTGGGAACACCAGAACTGAGACCAGGGTGAGAGCCGTGCTTCCGAGCTTTCCAAATTGCGCAGTAGCAACAAAACTCACCACCCTCAAAACGAAACCGAGCCTGGCTCCTTCAGTGGTTTGGGCTTTTAAACTGCTCTCCCATTCCTCTACTTCCTTCTCCCTTGTCTTCCGAGAAGAAAAAGCAAAAAACCCCACAACTGCACTTACAAACCTGGGAAAAGGAGAGTAGTCATTGGTGAGGTCAGCGGAGATCTGCTGCTAGTCCCAAGCACAAGGGGCTTGGGCTTTGGTGTCCTATGGTGCCCCAGTGCCAAAGAGCCACCAGGGCATCACTTTTTTCATAAAGTGATGCAGCCCTGACCTGTATCCACCTTATTACAGTACCTGGCATTTACCCAGCTGCTTCAAGGAGCTCCAGTCACACTTTTTTTGGGAAATTGTTTCAACATCAGTGGCAAGGAATGGTAGCTGCCATACAGCTATGCTATCTACACTGTAACCTCCCCTAATAAGGTGGCTTTCTCAACTTAATTGATATTGGTTTTTGGTCACTATGGTGGGTATCTTTGGAGAAGATGTAATGAGGGAGAAAACTAGGTCACTCATCACTAATCTGCTTCCGCCGATCTCCCACTCTCTGCCTGGCTGACTGGAGATCTTGCTGTAGCTCAGGATCTAACTCCTGGGCTGCTTCTCTGCCACCGTGTCCTGCCATGCTGCCAGATGCCATGGAGGGGTAAGAAAGACTTCTCTTTTCCGGAAAACACTGTCAGGTGTAGCACATAAGCAGAAGGAAATGAATAGATGTGCATCTGGAATGGGATTTCCATTACATCATAGCCAGCTAATTATAGTTATTTGCATTAAACAGGCTTGTTATTTATCGTAACTGTTGTTTTGATTTGCATTCCCTCTTCAAAGGAAAGATACTGTACTTGAAAGACAGTGCTGATGAAAAGGGTGAATAACACCTGCAGTTTGTGTGAATAGTAGCATTTCTATGTTTTAACATAATGCTTGGAAGTATTTTTAAGCTATCCAGCCCCATGTTGTTGTCCGGTTTTCATTCCTTCTCTGTCACATGATCTTACAGTTCCTGTACCTTTGCTGCAGTTTTGCTTTTTCTGCACCTCCTTATAAATAAAATAAACTGGCCTAATTAAGTTAGGCTTTAAATGGCAAGCTAGCCTTTATAATTCATGCATAATTGATATATATTTCCTGGAGGAGCCTTGATCAAGAAAAACAACTCTTAAAGACGGCAGTAACTAGCAAAAGGTTGCCAAATATTTTATTTTTTGTAGGCTTATCTTGCACTTCTGCGACTCCTTTAAAAGCAGTCTCTCCTCAAGACAGTTGTCTTCAATATTAACACCTGTGGTCATAATCTAGCAGTGCTGCATTATGACATTGGTAAAGATTCAAAAGGGCACAACTCCAAAATAGCCTTAGATGCTACTGAACACCTTAAAAGAACTGGCAATTGCTTCTGTCTCTGTTAAGTCCTGTCTCCCTCAAACCACAACATGGCCTAGTCAAACACTGGCTGAATAACTCCAAAGCCACAAAGTTTTGAGATATTATCAAGGAAGAAAACAGAACAAAAAGGGAATTTCCTTCAGAAGAGAGATGCCAGCCTCTGTAATGTAATGTTATTTATAATGTACTAATGTTAAAAAAAACATAATGGAGCACTGGGGACTCATAAGCGGTAACAGTAAATGCTACTGACTACACCTACCTGCTCAGTCCTGCAGTCTGGGATGCTGCCAGCAGAGCTACTCATCCAACCCCAGGCAGAAGCTGGGCACACCCATGGTGATACCTCACTTATTTTAGCGGAAACTCCCGTGCCTTGGGAATTAGGGGACTTGCCCTAATCATTTGCCTCTCAAGCCAATTCCTGCAGCGGATCATTGTTTATGGCACAGACAAGCCTGTACCATCCAGCCTGGGGATCCTGATGGTTCCCCTGGCCAGGGTTGTCTTACCTGGAGAGGTCGGCCTGCTGGTGCGCACTCAGCATGGAGCGTGGCCCAACTGCTTCTCTCTGGTCCCTACTACTCCATCTGTCCAGTTAATGGTGGTCCTTGGCAGAGTTAAAAATAGCACCTTCCTCACGGGTCACCATAGCACACATCCTGCTGCTTCGCTGTGGGGTTCTGAGAGGCGGTGTCCAAGCAGGCTGCTCTGTTCCCTAAGCATATATAAAGATAAAGTTAAGAAAGCAAATCACCATCTTTTCTACCAGTAGATTGTGTTTGACTGAATCTAAGCAAGTGAAGTATGTCTGACCTCCACTATGAAGGACCAGAATAGTTCTGTGGATAATATATTAATAGAATCATAGAGTTGTCTCAGTTGGATGGGACCTTTGAGGTCATGGATCCAACCATCAACCTAACACTGACAAAAACCCATTATAAAGCCATGTCCCCCAGCACCATGTCTACCTGTCTCCTGAATACCTCCAGGGATGGGGATTTCACCACTTCCCTGGGCAGCCTGCTCCAATGTTTGATTAATAATATGAAAGTGAATGTGGCCACACCTTTGCTTACATACAATGGGCTCGATCTACTCTTACATGGGCACCCAAAGCTGTAGCTTCTTTTAAAAGCTGATCCGTGTGTGGGAGTAGGCCGGTGGGGCCTGGGCGACTGTTTGCTCTCATTGACACCAAGGAGCGCAACCAGGGGAAGCTTTGCCTTAAAAAATCCTTCGGCTATGGTCATCTCGTGTGACAACAGGAAAGTAAATAATCTTGTATAAATTCTTCTTCCTAACCACCCCCTCACAAAGCGGAGCAGAGCCCAGGGTCCTGAGGCGGCCTTGGCGCGGCCGCCCCCCGCCACAGCCCGGCGCCGCCCGCCCTCAGGCCGCCGGGGGGAGCCGGGGCGATGGCGGCAGGAGGCGCCTTTGTCCCGCCGGGGCCTGGGCGGGCCGCCACCTCCTCCTCCTCCTCCTCCTTCCCCTTCCCCGCCCCTGCCACCGCCCTTTTGCTTTCGCTTTGCCCCCGCTGGCAGCCGGCGGCGCGGCCATGGAGAACGGCGGCGTCTACAACACGACCACCGAGCCGCAGGCCAAGCCGGCCCGACGCCCCTTCGGCTGCACCCTGCGGCACCTCTGGGGATGGCGGCTGCCCGCCAAAGCGCTCCAGGCGGTGAGTCTCCTCCCTTACCCCGCGCTCGCTCTCTCCTCAGACCGGCGGGCAGCGGCCGTGTGGGCCCTGTCCCCCACCCCCGTGGCCGGGGCTTGGCGCGGAGCGCACACCCGGCGGCAGAACAGCTGCCTGGAGCCGGGGAGCGAGGAGGGAGGAGGCCGAAAGTCTCGCTGAGGTATGCGTGGCATGCATCAGTATCAGAGCACTTCTCTAGAGTCTGCATTGAAACTTCTTGAAACAGAACTTGAAATGTGCTTGAGAGAATGGGTCCGGCTCATATCGTCATCAGTACCCTTCTTACTCCAGTGGTACGTGCTGGTAGGGTCGACTCTGGATTTTAAGGCAACACCTTTGGAAAGAGAACTTCAGCTCCTGCAGTCTATAATTTAGTTCCTTTGGGCATCTGTCAAAGTACAACACCGTTTCCAAAGCTGGAAAACTACATGTGTCATATATTAAGAGTTGTTATTGCCCTTTTTTTTTTGTGGAGGCTGGGACAGGGGAAAACTTTACGAATGACTCATTATAATTTCACTTCTTAAAACAAAGTTGGCAAAACGTCACTTCTGCATATTTAAAAAAAAAAAAATACAAAAAACCCCAAAACTTTAAGGTATCTTTACCACAAAAGGAAAACATGTGAGAATGTGTTTCTATGTAACCTGATGGCTTTGGCTTCTCATTCCCCTCTGATGAGACCAAGGCTCCAGGGCTGGTTGCTTGGTCCTCCTGAGTTGCAATGCCCTTGCCTGCTGCTTTGATGAGAGTAGACAATTAAGGTGGGATTTACCAGAACAATCATGCAAAATGAGTCTCTGTGACAGAAGGCCCCTCTCACAAAACCTGGTTCCTGTGAATCCTCCCTGTTCTCCTTTGCTCACCATCAACTCGGGCACCAAAACTAAATAATAAATAAATTGGGTAGAACAATTAAGCTGATTTGGCGGCAATACGTCTGTGTAATCCTTTACTGTGCTTTCATGCCCTAAGCTGGAGATGATAGGTTTGTGATGACCCCAATTTTAAAAAAGAATAACAGCGTGAATAACTTTGATTAGAAACAAAATTACTCTTGTGTGCCCTTCAGTGTTGTTTGGTACACAGTTTCAGTCTCGCACACAAGATGCAGAAAACAAAGAGCTAATTAATACAAGAATTACAGGGGATCGTTTTTGACAAAGAACAATTAATACTTTTTAAATGCTTTGCAGTATGAATACTGCAAAAAATTTTACAAAATAAACAAACCAAATAAATTCCTTTAGACTTTCAGGGCTAGTTCTGTGTAGAGAAGGAGCTGATTAGCTTCAAACTAAACTGTTTTGGGGGAATCTTGCAAATCTCCTTCCTCCTCCTCTCTACCATGTTCCTACATCAGTTCTTTGAGTATACTGGTTGTAATAAAGCTGCTCTGCAGATTTTAAGCTTGAAAATTTTGGGTAAATGGCCACTTTATTTCCAGACAGTTCATGTTTTTCAGCTGAAAATGGCAGTCCCTGAAAATGTCCATGTGACTTTTAGGTTATATGAACTAGCTACCATACTTAACCTTACATTTTTAGTGACACATCTGAAATGCCAGTACCAGCATTTGGGGCTGCAGTCTCTTCTTGGGAAGCAAAATTAATTTGCAGTAGGACATCTGCAGCTGCAGAACTGTTGTCTGTGGAATACCTCACGGGTTTATGTGTCTCTGTGCAGTGCAGACACGTGCAGAAAACCACAGACAAGAGCTGGCCTAACCCTGCATTTGGGACATGTGGAGAGTTGAGGGTTTGTTTTTTTTTCTCTTGTGCCATAAGGGATACTCAGAAATAGCTGTTAAAAATGCTAATTCTTCATCTTCAGCTGTTTAGAAATCACACATTCTAGCGTGTTAGTATGGTAATTGGGGTTTGTGAAGTTCAGTTGCAACACTGAGCCCAAAAATAGAGCCTCAGGAGCTGAAGGAGCTCCAGCAGATGCAACACGGTCAAGTCTTTTCTGAGCTCTTTGCCGTGGTACTTGGAATATTCCATTTGCAAACTAGTCATCCAGTATTGACTTCGTGTAACACACAGGGCCGGAGTCCCAAACAAAAGCTGTTGAGATGCCGTGTGGGAACACCAGAACTGAGACCAGGGTGAGGGCCGTGCTTCCGAGCTTTCCAAATTGCGCAGTAGCAACAAAACTCACCACCCTCAAAACGAAACCGAGCCTGGCTCCTTCAGTGGTTTGGGCTTTTAAACTGCTCTCCCATTCCTCTACTTCCTTCTCCCTTGTCTTCCGAGAAGAAAAAGCAAAAAACCCCACAACTGCACTTACAAACCTGGGAAAAGGAGAGTAGTCATTGGTGAGGTCAGCGGAGATCTGCTGCTAGTCCCAAGCACAAGGGGCTTGGGCTTTGGTGTCCTATGGTGCCCCAGTGCCAAAGAGCCACCAGGGCATCACTTTTTTCATAAAGTGATGCAGCCCTGGCCTGTATCCACCTTATTACAGTACCTGGCATTTACCCAGCTGCTTCAAGGAGCTCCAGTCACACTTTTTTTGGGAAATTGTTTCAACATCAGTGGCAAGGAATGGTAGCTGCCATACAGCTATGCTATCTACACTGTAACCTCCCCTAATAAGGTGGCTTTCTCAACTTAATTGATATTGGTTTTTGGTCACTATGGTGGGTATCTTTGGAGAAGATGTAATGAGGGAGAAAACTAGGTCACTCATCACTAATCTGCTTCCGCCGATCTCCCACTCTCTGCCTGGCTGACTGGAGATCTTGCTGTAGCTCAGGATCTAACTCCTGGGCTGCTTCTCTGCCACCGTGTCCTGCCATGCTGCCAGATGCCATGGAGGGGTAAGAAAGACTTCTCTTTTCCGGAAAACACTGTCAGGTGTAGCACATAAGCAGAAGGAAATGAATAGATGTGCATCTGGAATGGGATTTCCATTACATCATAGCCAGCTAATTATAGTTATTTGCATTAAACAGGCTTGTTATTTATCGTAACTGTTGTTTTGATTTGCATTCCCTCTTCAAAGGAAAGATACTGTACTTGAAAGACAGTGCTGATGAAAAGGGTGAATAACACCTGCAGTTTGTGTGAATAGTAGCATTTCTATGTTTTAACATAATGCTTGGAAGTATTTTTAAGCTATCCAGCCCCATGTTGTTGTCCGGTTTTCATTCCTTCTCTGTCACATGATCTTACAGTTCCTGTACCTTTGCTGCAGTTTTGCTTTTTCTGCACCTCCTTATAAATAAAATAAACTGGCCTAATTAAGTTAGGCTTTAAATGGCAAGCTAGCCTTTATAATTCATGCATAATTGATATATATTTCCTGGAGGAGCCTTGATCAAGAAAAACAACTCTTAAAGACGGCAGTAACTAGCAAAAGGTTGCCAAATATTTTATTTTTTGTAGGCTTATCTTGCACTTCTGCGACTCCTTTAAAAGCAGTCTCTCCTCAAGACAGTTGTCTTCAATATTAACACCTGTGGTCATAATCTAGCAGTGCTGCATTATGACATTGGTAAAGATTCAAAAGGGCACAACTCCAAAATAGCCTTAGATGCTACTGAACACCTTAAAAGAACTGGCAATTGCTTCTGTCTCTGTTAAGTCCTGTCTCCCTCAAACCACAACATGGCCTAGTCAAACACTGGCTGAATAACTCCAAAGCCACAAAGTTTTGAGATATTATCAAGGAAGAAAACAGAACAAAAAGGGAATTTCCTTCAGAAGAGAGATGCCAGCCTCTGTAATGTAATGTTATTTATAATGTACTAATGTTAAAAAAAACATAATGGAGCACTGGGGACTCATAAGCGGTAACAGTAAATGCTACTGACTACACCTACCTGCTCAGTCCTGCAGTCTGGGATGCTGCCAGCAGAGCTACTCATCCAACCCCAGGCAGAAGCTGGGCACACCCATGGTGATACCTCACTTATTTTAGCGGAAACTCCCGTGCCTTGGGAATTAGGGGACTTGCCCTAATCATTTGCCTCTCAAGCCAATTCCTGCAGCGGATCATTGTTTATGGCACAGACAAGCCTGTACCATCCAGCCTGGGGATCCTGATGGTTCCCCTGGCCAGGGTTGTCTTACCTGGAGAGGTCGGCCTGCTGGTGCGCACTCAGCATGGAGCGTGGCCCAACTGCTTCTCTCTGGTCCCTACTACTCCATCTGTCCAGTTAATGGTGGTCCTTGGCAGAGTTAAAAATAGCACCTTCCTCACGGGTCACCATAGCACACATCCTGCTGCTTCGCTGTGGGGTTCTGAGAGGCGGTGTCCAAGCAGGCTGCTCTGTTCCCTAAGCATATATAAAGATAAAGTTAAGAAAGCAAATCACCATCTTTTCTACCAGTAGATTGTGTTTGACTGAATCTAAGCAAGTGAAGTATGTCTGACCTCCACTATGAAGGACCAGAATAGTTCTGTGGATAATATATTAATAGAATCATAGAGTTGTCTCAGTTGGATGGGACCTTTGAGGTCATGGATCCAACCATCAACCTAACACTGACAAAAACCCATTATAAAGCCATGTCCCCCAGCACCATGTCTACCTGTCTCCTGAATACCTCCAGGGATGGGGATTTCACCACTTCCCTGGGCAGCCTGCTCCAATGTTTGATTAATAATATGAAAGTGAATGTGGCCACACCTTTGCTTACATACAATGGGCTCGATCTACTCTTACATGGGCACCCAAAGCTGTAGCTTCTTTTAAAAGCTGATCCGTGTGTGGGAGTAGGCCGGTGGGGCCTGGGCGACTGTTTGCTCTCATTGACACCAAGGAGCGCAACCAGGGGAAGCTTTGCCTTAAAAAATCCTTCGGCTATGGTCATCTCGTGTGACAACAGGAAAGTAAATAATCTTGTATAAATTCTTCTTCCTAACCACCCCCTCACAAAGCGGAGCAGAGCCCAGGGTCCTGAGGCGGCCTTGGCGCGGCCGCCCCCCGCCACAGCCCGGCGCCGCCCGCCCTCAGGCCGCCGGGGGGAGCCGGGGCGATGGCGGCAGGAGGCGCCTTTGTCCCGCCGGGGCCTGGGCGGGCCGCCACCTCCTCCTCCTCCTCCTCCTTCCCCTTCCCCGCCCCTGCCACCGCCCTTTTGCTTTCGCTTTGCCCCCGCTGGCAGCCGGCGGCGCGGCCATGGAGAACGGCGGCGTCTACAACACGACCACCGAGCCGCAGGCCAAGCCGGCCCGACGCCCCTTCGGCTGCACCCTGCGGCACCTCTGGGGATGGCGGCTGCCCGCCAAAGCGCTCCAGGCGGTGAGTCTCCTCCCTTACCCCGCGCTCGCTCTCTCCTCAGACCGGCGGGCAGCGGCCGTGTGGGCCCTGTCCCCCACCCCCGTGGCCGGGGCTTGGCGCGGAGCGCACACCCGGCGGCAGAACAGCTGCCTGGAGCCGGGGAGCGGGGAGGGAGGAGGCCGAAAGTCTCGCTGAGGTGGCGGCGGGTTGGGGGTGAGGAGCGGGAGCCGGGCCCGCCGCCGCCCTGTCAGCCACCGCCGCCCCGTCACCACCGCCGCCCCGCCGGCCGTACAGGTGGCCCCGCTTGCCAAAAGTGCCGCTTAAAAACGGAGCTTTTCACCGGCAAAGCGCAGCCTTGAGGGGGGATGGCGGTGCGGAGGCTGCCGGGGTCGGGGAAGGGCCGGCCCCATCAGAAGGCCTGGCTGCAGGTGCGGCAGAGCCGACGCTCACCTCTGATGGCGGCGAGGAAGGGAGCACGGACTCGCACCTCAGCTGGAGAGCTGGCGAGGCGCCCGACGATGCCGTCTCCTCTCGGGTCGGGGTTGTTTGATGGTGGGGCGTTGACCCACTTGTGGCTTTTCCGCGTCGAGGAGGCGGTGGGGACACCAGGCAGTTGCTGGGCCCCACCAAGGTTCGTTGCTGCGGCCGGTGTGGTTCAGCTGCCTCTGTCCTTAGGGCTTAAAATCAGGGGGAAACCTCACGGGGAAACTTCGTATTTTCTTCTGAGGAGGGACGAAAACAGGAGGTAGAAGCTCTTAGTTGGAACTCAGGGTAGGTCATCAGGTCAGGACCTCCCTCTCCTGCCACACCTGCAGCCTATCTTTAAGCTAAATTCGGGGCTCTTGTTTCTCCTGTGATTCCTGGTAGAAAATTGCACCAGAAAAGTGCAGTGTTGATGGTGGGCTGTTGTAGGGGACAGGGCAGTGCATCGCTTCGTGTTGGGCCGTCCTGTGCCCACAGGAAACAAAAGGTTTATGTTCTGCTACTTTTTGCAACGTACTGCTATTCCCCAAGGCATTCAGCAGTGAGAGCACAATTCAGTCACTGTCTGTTCTGTGCTCTTCCAAAATGTGCCAGTGCCACTGCTGATAAGCACATGAGGAGCATCTTTCTTAATTACTGGCAGGGAGGTAGTGAAACTGACAGTGGGAAAGGGCAGCTGACTGTAAATGTGTGTCAGGGTACATTTTCCAGCCAACAAAGTGGGTTTTTAGTCAGATGTTTTGTGTTCACGGGAACTGTAGGTGATTTCCAGCCCTTTCTTCTTACTTCACCATTGCAGAAAAGAGGACGTATTTTAAACTTTTGTCTTGCATGTGGTTGCAACCCTCAACCAGAAATGTAGGATTCTTGAGTGCTGGCAACATTAATGCTGCCAAAAATAATGTTTTCTAAGAGTGTTTAAGAAAATCACACCCAAGAATGCTTTAAATAAATACATATTATAGGACATAAACTTCTAATTCATCTACAGCAGATTAATAAAGTAAGATCTGCTGCCTGTTGCTCGCAGACAAGCAGATCACTTATATAAGTAGTTTCACCAACTAAAATAAACTATTACGTATGCAAATTTACTGGCGTACCAAAGTCTTAAACTGGTTTTTTAAACTTTTGTCTTGCACGTGGTTGCAACCCTCAACCAGAAATGTAGGATTCTTGAGTGCTGGCAACATTAATGCTGCCAAAAATAATGTTTTCTAAGAGTGTTTAAGAAAATCACACCCAAGAATGCTTTAAATAAATACATATTATAGGACATAAACTTCTAATTCATCTACAGCAGATTAATAAAGTAAGATCTGCTGCCTGTTGCTCGCAGACAAGCAGATCACTTATATAAGTAGTTTCACCAACTAAAATAAACTATTACGTATGCAAATTTACTGGCGTACCAAAGTCTTAAACTGTTTGCCTGAACAGAGCCATTATTTAAAAAGCTTTCTAGGTAGGAAAATTGAAAAGTATGGTTATCCTAAACAGGATGGATAGCTGCTTGATATGCTCCTAAAGAATTAGCAGTTTACCTGTCCTTCAACAGGGGAAAAAGAAAAAAGAATTATAGTTGTTCGCCCTCCTAATTTCCACCAGTTTCCCCTCCCTTTTTCTTTCCCTTTACTAAAATACACAGATCTTGGAGTTCTTGGTCAAAACGCTTTAAGCAAGTCCCAGAAAATACTGAAGGTGGAAGCCTCAGTATCTCCAGTAAGAGAAATGTTCCTGTTTTGGGAAAGTGTTGATTTTTTGAAATGCCGGTGATGGTCGTTAACATCTATTAGCCTTGTGTTACAATAGTGATTGTGAGCTGTAACTGGGATTATGCAGTGATAATCACTCGTGTGGGCTGCCCAACAGGGTATTGCACTCAGAAAATCAGCTGTTGCCATCACAGAAGTGATTTTACAAGACACTGAAATCACCTGCAGAAAACTGGTTTCTAGACCTTAGAAGTGCTTTCCTTCTGATTAATAACAGTGTATGTTGTAATTTTAGCCTGCCCCATTGAAGCTTTTGGGGCAAATAGAATAAGGGAAATGTAACTGTCAAAAGGATGCTGGGAGGCATGCTTATTGCAGGGATTTCTAGATTTTTTTAATTTTTTTTTTATATAGGTGGAATGTTTTTATTAGTCCGTTACTCATTCAAATTCTGCACAAAGGTAAATGGCACAGCACGAACTGTGCCAAGATTGAGGTAGAAACAAATTCTTATCTAAAGCAGAAATACTCATAATCAACTATTGTTTGACTTTAACAAAAATGCCCTTAACTGGCAAGGAAAATTGTGATTCAGTCTTAAACAGCTGCTCTTTTTCTGAGCTGTTCACTTCCTATAGCAGCCCAATGGTGGAGACTTACAGAATTAACACGTGCACACAGCTGAACTAGAAGATTTTGCCCTGGGAAAGCCACTGCTGAGCATTTTCACAGCCCTGTTGGAAAGTTCATTGATCTGCTTTCTTTCTGTAGCCTTTCATTTATTAAATCTAGGAACTTGACACTTGTGTGGAAACTTCCAACAGTAATGTCAGTGTCAATGAATAACTTATTGGTGGTAAGGGACAGATTTCTGGTGCACACACCGACAGACAGGACTAATAATTAACAACAACAACAACAACAAAATAGAAAAAGCTAAAAACTGCATCTCCAATGCTGCTTTTCCCTTTACAGCACAGAGGAAGGCTAGCAGTGCGTGCGTATGGTGAGGTATGGATTTTCCTGCAGGAGCTGGTGGCAGCCTGTCTGTGTCCCTGTGTGTGCTCTGAACCGTGCCCTGACCCACCTGCCGGGTCACCCTTGCCTGCCCACCATCGCTGGCACGGCAGCGGTGTGGGGTGAGAGGGAAGGAAGGTGGTGGCTGCCTGCTTCTGGTTTCGGGAGTTACCCTGGGTGAAAAAAATCTCCCCGCAAGGTTTAGCTCTCAAGAAAATGAGGAACTGCTGAGTTTACCCCCTTTGGCTCAGACAAAAGCAGTGGTGATATTCTGGGCATCAGCTGCCAGGGATTCTCCGTGGGATCGGTGTGGAGAAGGCAGATGTTAAACAGAATGAGCTTTGCCTCCTTCATATAAGCCTGCAGAGGTCTGGGCTCATCCCAGGACTGATGCTGATGGATGAAGTTGGATCTCCAGCAGAAGAGTTCTTGGGAAGCTGAATGAACTGGGGAACCTCCTGGCTTGTTTAAAGCAGCTCGTGTATTTATACTGTATGTAATAGGGGGATGGTACTGAAATGCAGGTGAGTAATAGAGAGGATAATCTTCTGCCTAATACTAGAAAAAACTTCCTGCTATGTTATATAGTTGTAACTATATAAGCTGAAGTTAGGAACTACTCGTTTAGTGGTATTTAAAAACAGTCTTTTTTTGTAGCAGGACAACAGAGTAATCCCTTTTGTTTCTCATAGTGACATCAAGAACCAGGTTAAGAAATCCAAGCAGAACTCTCTGGCACTTTATAAATGTGCTGTTGATACACTGATCAGTTATTCAGCTTATTAATAAAAATTGAGTATTGACTTGGACAATCCTGTGTAGGACTTCACTTGGTAAATCTGATTTATTTGACACTGAACCATTTATAGCTACTCTTTGAGTGGGATTTTTTTTTTCTATGTTCAGAGGAGGGTTTTTTTCAGCTTTTTAGATTGTTATGGTTATCTGGGCTTATAAATTCTCTTAAGGGCAGGTTTATTTCCTGTTCTGTTTCATCCCAGGTGAAAGTGATGACATTCACTTTTCAGTGCTGATAAAAATAGCAGTGAAATATCTCACAATCTAGCTGACCTCATGAAAAATGTGAAACAGAAAGTCATTGGACTCAGCTGTAAGCAAACTTTCTGAAATGCAAAAAAAAAATACTTAAAAATTGGAAATTAAGAGTTCAAAACATTCTTTGGACAGCCGGTGTAGTCACTGGTTTAGGTGTGAGGGCTGCTGAGACATTTGCCTTGCCAGCCACTGTGGGAGAAAAGGGAAGTATGTGGAGGCCTGATAGTAATATTGCAGTTTCTCAGCTCGGGTTCTTTCCCTTTCTGAGATCCTGTTTACTTTATGATTGCAGCATTTTCAAAACATGATGCTTTGAAGTGCCCTTCTGAGCTCTGGCTTAGCAGGGGGGAATTTACAATTCCCACGTGGTAAATTGTTGTTCATGTTTTTACTGTCTGAAAACTAAAACCAAAGTCTGGTGGTTATTTTCCAAGAACAACTCTGAATTTTAGAATTTGATTTATTAAATGTTTTTAAAGAAGAACTGTCAACCTCATACTGCCCCTATACTGTTATTAAAAATAAGATCATCGTCCTTATATCAGTCTCAATTTTACGACTGAGTCTGATTCCTGTTACTGGTTTTGTTCTTATTTGGTGAACTTACTGCAAGGATCTGTAAGCCTGTGTCAACTTTACGGGAGGAAGGAAACTTATCAAGAACTGGCCAAAATTAAGAGAATGTTCAAATAAAGCAAGGCAGCTGCCTCTGTCAACACTGTCCGGTTTCCCCCTCTGCGCTGAACCCAGGTGCATTTAAGATTAAGTGCAGTTTAAGTAGCTAGCAATAGTGTTTTCACCCCTTCTGAGGGAGATGTGTGCTCTCCACGCTGCCTGTTTCCTCTGCTTCCAATGCAGAAAATTGCACAAAACCACGAATTTGGAATCTTGACTGTCTAATCAATAAGCCTGCATTTGGCGGTGTGTGCTCAGCTTACCTGAGTGTAGTTTATTGACCAGATTTAATAGCAAGTGTAAAATATGTCACTATATAATTATTTCTGCCTGTAAAAAAACAGTGTGGAATTTTACCAGGTTCTTTGTAAATCTAGGATTTTCCTTACAGCTGTCTATTACTGTTCATATCGGAGGCATCTATTTGCTGAAGATATTAAAGACTTGATCCAACTCAAGCATGTCATTTGTTTGCAGATTCTCTCTCTTCTGGCTGTTATTTGTGAAGAAATTGTGGAGGATTGTATCAGCTGTGGTGGACTTTACTTCTTTGAATTCACAAGCTGCAGTGCCTTTCTTTTGAGCCTCCTCATCCTGTGTGTGTATTGCACTGATGCATATGAAACATTTGGGGAAGATAAAGTACGGAGAGTGGTAAGGAATTGTTATTTTTTTAAAATAAACCATTTCTCTTAAGCACTTAAAGACTACTATGGAGTTAAAAGGCTATACAGAATGAATCTCCTTTTCTGCTCTATTTAAGAGCAGACTGAAGTAGCTTATAGTTAAAAGTCCCTTTTATATTGACAACTTTTCTAAAATTGTCATGCTGGTTACCTGCAGGATTTTAGGACTTGTGTGAAAGTCTTCCATGCAGACTAATACTACTGCATAGTCATCACCTACATATGTACGTATAGGGAACACAGTTTATTGCCAGCACAATACTTGTAACTTACCTGTTTACCCTCTCTGTTTTCCTACCGGGTGTAGCCTGCCTCCCTTCTGGTAGTAATCATACTCATTACAGTTTATGCTTTTACATTTCAGAAGATCCAGCAGAGGTACAAAGTTGCTCTGTAAAGTCAGGAATAATATTTATACTGTGTTTATACGAGTGTCCCTTCCTATTTGTCAACAGAGCAAACAGCAGGTTTTTGAAGTACAGATAAGGGAGTGTAGTAAGAGAGTTGAATGAGCACATTTACTTACAAGTTTCTGATTTCTCAAATGTTTTACATGGGGAATAATGCTGGCATGGTTGACCTGAGCTTGAATTTGATGGTGAAAAAAGTTAGATTAAATGAACAAATACTTAAAGAATGCAAAAACGAGGGAGTATGTAATGCAGACTCTTTTAAATAGTTAATAATGGTATTATGAAGTAGTTGTAAAATATATTTTCTGAAGCTTCCATTAACATCAGAGTTTCAAAGCATGAATTCACTGGTAGATTAACTCAGCTCCTGTTACGATGCTTGTTCTTTTTCAGGTAGTATATCTACAATTCTATAACATTCTTTTCTTTATATATTTGCAGAATTTTGGGGCCATGATAGCCGTAGGTGCCTTATTTCTCTTAGCATCAATAGTGCTTGCTGCAACCAGCTCTGGGTCTGCTGTTGAAAAAGCTGCATGTGTAAGTCTTAAAATCACATGATTTACTTTGTGTTTATCCTGTATGCTAATTTCACTGCCCTCTAAACTTCACTCAATTTCCAGGGAAGAAACTGGGCAGGCAACAAAACTCAGTACGTTGTGATGTTTCAGGAGGAATTAGCTATTTTAGACCTTCCAAAAACTTCCTGTAGGAGATCCAAAGAGCAGGGACTCCTCAGGATTGCTGGAAAGCTGTGTGTGCACTTGCAGCTCCCTAGCATTTGGGGCTCATTCCTGGGCTCCTCAGACTTTGCTGCCTTGGCTCCGTGTTATTCCCTGTCACCTGTCGCTGTTTCGGCACTGCCATCTCTCACAGCTTCCCTGATATCCTCATCTCTGAAATGCCTATTTTTTTTTTTTCTTTTCATTGTCCTTTCATACAATGCCACCCCCTCACAAAGTCAGCAAGAAACCGTGTCTTTTGCCAGGCGTTGCAAAGCTTGTGTGGAGAAGGCTGACTTGCAAAGACTGCAATAAGAGCAGCAGTTTCCTCAGTGACAGGAACAGTGAGAAGAGCAATAGGGCACACGTCTCTGTGGAGAACACTGAAGAGGCTCAGGGAGAGGCACTGAAGGCCCTTTGGGATGCTGTGAATGTTGTCATTCCTCAGTCATTTGGCGCTTCTTTTGAATAATCTTTTGAATAGCCTTGTGAATATGTGAGTTTAAAAGATCAAATTTTGATTTTTATTCTTGAATGAGAAAAAAATGAGCTAGAAAAGAAAGCAAAAGAATTCTGTTCCACAGGCAGCATGAGCAATTAGAGATACACGCTTTTGTATCTATGATATTGATCTATTCAGACCTAATTGTTTGAATATGAAGTCTTTCGGTTTCCTTTCTGGAGCTGGAAAAACAAAAACTATTGTGATTTAAGACTTACTAGTGTCAAATTGCTTTGGGGCAAACCAGTCATGTAAAATGTAGGTAGAAGTTAGAATAATGCTTCTTTAAGAAGTTAGAATAATGTTTCTTTCCTTGTTTGAAAGAAACTGCTAAGAATGACCTTCTATGAAATGTCATGAAGAAAATGTCATTTGATCCTCCCTTACTGGCCCAGCACAGCCTTGCTCAGGCTCCACAGATCTTTTCTCCCTTCACATTCCATGTGTTACTCTTCTTTGCTTATTCCCTCTAATCAGCAGACATCTCTTGGATAAATACTCAACTATGCTATTAAATAAGCCATGCTTATTTAATAACTAATATTTGCAATAAAATTAATTTGCAAAAAAGTAATATACTTTTACTAGTAAGGACAGTTTAGAACATATTGTAAGGTTCACACTTGATTAAGAGAATGAGAACTGTAAAAACTTTTTCATTAAATGTTCTAGAATTATGATTTCTGATCTGTTTCTAATTTAAATGGAACTACCTATTTAAGGAGGACCATAATCTTAATATATAAGCGTTATTAATTTAGGTACATAGTCCAGCAAATCTCTCCAAACAGTGTTAGAATACTGTTAATGCTTGTACATTTTAAAATCATATATTCCTTTCACAGGTATTTGGATTTCTTGCAAGTGGTGCTTTTTTAGCTGAAAGTGGTATAGAGGGCTTTCACAGGTGGAAACAAAACACTGGCGGACGCTCTGAAAATCCTGTCAACACTCCGAATGCCACAGAAAATCAGCCACTGAATAAACAAAGCTAACTTTCTGGAATTATGTCCTTTTTTTTTTTTTCAATGGAGCAAACTAAAATGAACTTTTGGTGCACTGTAGGTAACAACTTCTGTCTCTTCATTCTAATCAATTTTGTACGCATTGCTCATCAAAAATAATTTTTATAGATCCTTAGGTAATGGTATCTTAAGCATCATGTTCTAAGGTAACTGGTCCTGCTTAATAATTTGTCCTCCCACCTCTCCAGGTGACATACACTAAAAAACCTTATGTCTAAATAGAGTAACTTAAGGACAACAGTGTGCTGATTTGATTTTGACAGAGGTGACTAATAAAGGTTAATGTGTGATGCATAAATTCTGAGCTATACCCTAAAGCTATTTTCTGTATAGATGGACTGGATACTTCTTTTACGACTTATAAATTAGTACTGCAGAATTCATTTTTGTACTTACTGGTCAAGCTGTGAATGTAAAAGGGATACCTGATTGGAGCCTTACAGAAATACTTATCCTTACGTAAAGGTTTTTGTTTTTACTATTCGTGTGTCTCAGTTCTGTCTGTGGAAATCAGCTGAATGGACCAGCGAGTGTAGGGGGTTTGTGTGGAGGGGAGTGTAATGGTATATTACAGAGACAGCTTTGCAGCTTGTCAAAGTTTGGCCTTGTATGCCAGAATTGTCTTTCAGATTGTTTCAAAGCCCTGAAAAGTTGCAGGAAGAAACTTGAAAAGCCAGCTCGGAGAGGAAAAAGATGAAGAACATATATTTTCATGAAGTAACCCCAAAAGTAGCAATCTGAACATCAATGGGAAAAAAGGTTACAGCACGCTGGTACTGTCCTGTTGAATATTACTTGCAGGTTTAATGCCAAATGCAGTTTGTTTATGCACAGTAAATGGTAAGCTTTACCAGAATGGTAATGGACACCACTGTTTTCTTTGTTTATAAATATGGCACTAGCTTGAGACTTCTTGCTGCTGACTAGGTCAGTTGGTAAACAGGTAAATAAGCACTTGTACCCTTGATTTGTCCTGAAAGCAACGGGCTGTCAGACTGCGAGAAACACTACTGATGCAACACCTATCAGACAAGTGACGGACAGAGCAGACCAGATGTTGATGGCTTTAAAAGAAATAAAGTGGTGAAAAGGCGTTTTGGGGATGTCTGAGGTAGGAGCAAGACTGCTAGACCTCGCTTAAGAGGAAAACCTTCAAAAGTAGGGCAAATTGCTGTAAGGCAGATGTTCCAAAATACCAAAGCAAAGGGGAAAAAGCTGATTATGCAAAAACAGTTCTTGTTTGAGCACTCATGGCGTTTGCCGTGTCTTCCAGGCATTAACTCCATTTCATCAATACCCTAGTCTGACAAATTTACAGTCCTGTAACCTGTTGTGGCAGCACTGAGACTAAACCCTCCAGAAATCAGCTGAGCAAGCTGCACTTGGAAAAGGAGGAGGAAGCTGTTGTAAGACAAAGGGCTGTAAATGGAGGTCAGAGGTTTTCCCCAGTGCTGCCACTTTCTGATCAGTGTGAGTTTGTTCTCTCCCTAAGCTCTGAGACTTAAGCCTAACACTACACTTTGCTTGGAGGATGTAAAATTGAAGCACCAAGTTTAAGCTGTAGCTTGGCTTCAGAGCCATGCATAAAATACATACTTTCCTTCCTAGAATTTCCTAGTTTGTGAAGAAGAAATGCTCTATGGAATGGCTTTTTTTTTTTTTTCTCTTGTATTTATTAGTGTCCATTTGCACTAAAACCTGGTCTCAGTCTAGGTGTGTACAGAGCTTGCTGTAGCTGTCCCTGGAAACTGGGTAGATGAGGGATGATTTGTTTACAAGCAATGCTACTGGTGATATGAAACTTGCCATAATGAGAAATATCTCTGCTATGATTTGCAGTGTCTTACTTTAGGGATTGTGTCCATATCTGTGATTAACATTCTAAGGTTTTATTGCCCAGGTCTCTACTAAATTTGTTTCCACATCACAGTATCTGTAGTCTCTAAATCTTGATCTATAATTAAAGGCTGTAAATACAGTGTAAGAGTAACTGTGCTGCTGATATTTATTAAGCAGTGCAGCATCACGATGAGACTTTTATCTTAAGGTAATTTTTCTTAGCTTGAAAATATAAGAGAGTCCTGGGTTTTGTTGCTTTGCTATAGGCTTTTTCTCACCTAAGTGCTTTGTTATCGGTGTCCACTCCTGAACTGGAGATAGTTATTTTTATGAAAAGCGCCACAAGGACTTGATGTCAGAAGAAGGTGACTCTGACTGAGATCTCCTGACTCCCACAATTGGACTACTAGGCCTTTTGAAACAAATGCTGCCAACCTTTGCAGGATGGTTTGATGAATTCTGTTATGACATACATGCTGGCGTCCCTGGTGTGTTTTGGGTTGTTGGACTGAGGGGGTTTGGACATGTTTTTCATTTTTATTTGAGCTGTTCCAAGTATGTAGTTTATACCTGTTCTCTCGCCAGCTGACTGATCCATGTACGATTTGAGGATCAGATTCCATCCCTGACTGAAAAGGATGCAAGCGTTGCCATCAGCTAATGAAAATGACAAACAGGAGTCTTTGGGAAAGTGGCTAGTTGTTTTCCCATATGTCCCAGGCACTTACTAATAGGAGAAGTCCTGCTATTCTTTAGAACAATACATAGAGCTCTATCCCAGATACTGTCTTCCTGACATTAATCTATCACATAGTAGTTAAATACTAGGAGCAGACGAGCTACCACATACTGGTTATAGTTTAAGGCAATTGCTAAACTGTTCCTTCCAAACTAGTTATTGGCTAACAAAGCAGTTCCTGCATGGTGCTACTGGTGATCCCAGGTTTCTAAGAATGAGGTGTTCTTTTTGTTCTGTTTTAAAATAGTTGAGAAGCAGGTTTGCTAGCATGTGTGCTGTTCTGCTTCTGGGAGGTCACTCCCTTAGCCACCTTATCAGCTTCCTAAGATACAGGGCCAGGTTTGTGTCCCTCCTAGCTCCACTGCCCTCCCAGGCTGGGGGGAGAGACTTCCTTGCAGTCTTGACATGCTCCCTTTGATCCTTCTGGTGTTGGATCCAGGCTTTGAGTGTCTGTCTCTTATTAAGACTCATCCCAGAGAACGGCACTGGAGCTGGATTAAACATCTGGTTTTGCAGGAGCTCTGTGTGTGTGGCTGGGTGGCTCTTACCCCTCCTGTGCACTGTCAGCAAAGCGGTCTGCTCCTTCCCCAGCCTGCTGCTGAGTAATCAGCTTGCTTATTTAAACCAGCTATTTCAATTGCTTCCATTAAGGTGGCTGATTTTGACTGAAGTGGATTAGGGATTGTTCAGGAGAGCGGTGGGAGATCTGGCAGTGGTGCTGTTAAAAGGAACTGTCTTAAATTTCTTCATCCGTTTGCAAAGGAACCCTCTCTGTACAATTTTAACTGGTAGTATAACCTAGGGAAAGAGGCAACTGGCCCAGCACGTCTATCTGGGGATTGTCTTCTCTCTACTCCACCGCAGTGCTCAGCAGTGGTGTTGTGAGCCTGCTCAGACACATTAAAAGCTTTTGTCTTTTCCAGTTGAGCCTGTCCAAAAATATTTAAAGGCTGTGCACCCACTTTCAGGCTTTGTTTACAGTGCCTTGAGAATCACTGCAGAGGATTCTCCAGGACATGTGAGGACTTGTTGTTAAGTGGCTGGACTGCGACTTTCTGCTCCGAAAATCCGCAAGTGCATTGTGCAGACTGTGATTGTTAATTTTTGTGTTTGGCATTTAGCCCATGTTAAAATCACAATGCTACCGGTGCCCTTTGGGTTCTAAATATGTGAAGGAATTGTACCTTACTGCTTGGGTTCCATGGCTAAGAATAGCAGGGGAGGGTTGGGGTCTGTTACAATTCAGTTTTACCTTTGCACCTTCTGACTTGAAAAAGCAGTGAGCTGTCTCACACGATTCCCAGAGCTCTGCACAAGATGTTTTTGCATAATGGCCCTCATGGTGATCCTTGTTCAAATTTGTGCAATAAAAATACCAGGCTTTTTACACTGAAGGGAAATATTTGAAAGGTTATATAAAATTGTAACAAATCAAGATGCTGGTAGTGCCTTTAATATGGAAATTCATATTTGTTTTTAATCTATTGCCGTAAACATAAGCAAATCTCTAGATACTAAATTTTATGCTGTTCAGAACTATCACTTTTAATACCTTTGAGAATTTAAGGACTTTTAATGATTATTAAATCAGAGTGATAATAAAGTAGTTTTATATATATATAAAATAAAAATACAGTTACACAGATTTGTTGCCAATGTTGCCTTGAATTTCCATTTAAGTAATTTTGAAATGCTTTAATATTTTTTCCATTCTAAACCTGTGGTCTTTTCTAATGTATTGTTCCTTTTTGGTCTTAAAAGCTTTCTAAAATATTTTGTAATAATTTTTTAAATAAAATTATCAGTAAATAACTTAAGCGTTTCTCATTTCTGCTGCTATGATTTGGTATGGCTATGTAACCATAGGAAATAACATCATGCTTTGTTCCTGGTTTGGAGGAAGGAGCTTGCATTGTGTTTGCCTGTTCCTGGGGAAGGGGGTCCAACTTGCAAAGCTGGATATTCTCACTGCAAGCTTCCAAGAGGAAAGGTCCAATCAGGTCAGTTTTGCCTCTTTTCACAGAGTCCAACCTCCAACCAAACGCGTTTGCCATCGCCTTTACACCTACCATGGTCTATAGGTTACTGTGACAAGCATAACTCAAGTGCTGCTTTGCTATTGTCTTGATTACTTGGAGCTGAAAGAAGATAAAGCAGCAGACTGGTTGAAAAAAGGAGCATGAAGTAGCTGAAAGGTGTTAAGAGCAAGGAATTTCTTCTGGTGTAGAAAAATACAAACGACTGAGTTTCTTGGTTGAGGAGGAGCTGCTGGATCCTTTAAAAATGTTTCCTGATTGTCAGTAGTAGGGGGTGAGGAAAAGGAAATAAACCTGCACGCTTTCTGGCAGGGTAGCCTTTTTGTTTCATAATCCTACAGATTGCTTATCACCTGGTGGTCACCTTGTAAACCGGAGGAGAACGGCACTTTCTTCGTTGTCAGCACTGAAACTGGAATGCTGCGGGGTATTTTTCTTTATATTCTAACATTAAAGGTGAAATTGTCTCTTTGATGAAGTTGCCAGAGATGAGTGTAACCATAAGGATTCAGAAGGGAAAAAGGTTTCTAATGCTTTTAATTACATTTGAAAACTAGATGCAAGAAAACAAAACATGACAAAATGTTGTATTAAAAGGGTAAGTCAGTGGTGGATTTACGCAGCGTGAGAAAATAACTCAGAAGTCCTAAGAAAGATTAATAAAGACTTAATAATTTGGAGCGTGACCACACAGTTTAAGTTGTGTTACTGCTAGAATCGTGTCAACACCTTTCTTGGGAGAAAAGGTGTTTTCTCACATCCAAGTGAGTTTACTGTAATTTATGAGAGTAGCGCAGCGGGGCAGATCCTCTGGGAGTGCACCCACTGCTGAAGGCACCTACGTGTTTCCTTGCTTTTGGGTGGGCTTTCTCCTTACAGCGAGGAGCACGACCAACACACGGCCTCCTTCGTGCTGTGGGGTGGGAACCCAGCAAAGCTAACTACTTGGCTGGGGCTTGAGTTCAACTTCTCTTTGGATTCAGAATAGCTGTTCCTTGCCTGCTAAAGGAAGCACAAGGAAGGTTTTTTGCGTTTCATTTGTGCAGTCTGTACAGGCATCTGCTGAGGAGCTGCAGGAGAGAAGTTTGCCCACAAGAGGGCAAAGATGATCCTGTGATTGAAATTACTTAGTCCGGAGGACTACACCCCGGATTTTCAGTGCAGTTGAAGCCCCCTTGCCCTCTTTTCTCAGTGTGGCTATAAATTGAACTGTGCATTTTAGTGACACTGTTTAAAATCCTTTGCTTATTTCTCCAAATGCAGCCTGAAGGTTTTTGATAATGTAATCGGATCAATATTGTCTCAAGGAGATACTTTACCTGAGCGGTTTAAAAAGGTTTTACTTTTATTCCTTTTGTTTTGTAACCTGTCAAGAGATGCTTTTAAAAATTCAAGTCAAGCTTCAGCTGCATCTGCACCAGTAACACTGTACTGCAGCCTGGAAGGTTTTTGTAGTCGGGACTATGCTGTGGTTTTTGATCAAAGGTCTGTGGATCGTGGGTGGAAGATGGAATGGGGAGTATCTGGGCATTTCCTGGGCTCTTGGGAAGTTAAATGAGAGAAGCTTATTATCAAAAAAATGCAAATTACGCACGCTGGAAAAATGTCAGGGTCCACAAAGAGAAATGTTGGCAAACATAGCTGTAGTGCATGCCAGACAGGGCTTCTTGCAATTCCGGTCCTCCCCAGGCACCCCAGCGAAACTTGCTTTGACCAGCCCGTGTGTCCTAATCACTCATTCGGTTTGTTTCTTATGACCTATTATCTCTTGGCTGAATATTAGAACAGGACTGGGAAAAGAGCACAGACCTGGCTGTTTTGAAGTTGGCAAGTCCCGAGGTGAGAGTCAGGGCTCCACGAGGCAGCGACAGCATAAGCACATTCCTCTCTAGCGTGACTCATGTGTGGCCAGATGAGGACAGCAAATATCCAGTCAGGTATTTGATGCTAGATGTGCTGCATAAAGGATGTAGTATTCAACAGAGCTAAGTCTGGGGTGTACTTCAGAACCCTCTTTTTAGTCCTGAAAGGATGTACTATCCAAAAGAGCTAAGTTTGGGGTGTACTTCAGAACCCTCTTTTTAGTCCTCCCTTGGATTTACTGAAAGCATAATATTGTAAGACAGAAGCATGACAAGTTTTCTTTTCCTATATGCCCTACCCTTGCTTAGAGAATGGTGGAATATTGCTCGAAATAATGCCAGTCTGTCTGCACTACAGCCTTCCTTTTAACTACTTCCTTTGCACCAGCTGTCACTCTTCCAAAAATACCAGTGCAGACACGATTCTGAAATCCCTGGTCATGTTGAGCTGTAGGTGAGGAAGGAACTGTTACTTAATTGTCCTGTAGTCTCCACACACCACTAACCAAAGACGTGGAAGCTGCTACCCTGGCGTGAGCAACAAGGCATCCTCAGAAAGGAGGACAGACCCTCACCACCTCTTTTTATTGTTAACTCAACATCCATTTTCACCCTCCTGTGCCTGTCTGCTCTGTTTCAAAGGCTGCAGATCACCGGTTATTGATTCTCACATTGTTAAAACCCCGCTTCCCATTCCCATCCCTCAAATCTAAATTAAACCTCCCTATCAGTGCAATTCATAGCAACAAGAGCTTCAGCTAAAACCCTGCCTGTTGGTTTCTCAAAACAGCTGACATAAAGTGGCTATGGAGGTCCATCTGAGAGGGTACAATCCAGCTCTAGAAACAACTGTCTCGTCAACATAAGTCTGTCTGTTTTCTGCCTCATAGTCCTCTTGCTTAGAAAGGCTTGTTTTATGAATGAATAAATGTTGTCCTTGACTTGATACAGTTTTTTAATTGTAAATGCTTGTTTCTGGCAATTGTGCCTCTCATTTCAGGCTAACAAGAGCATAATTATTCAGCTCTCATGCATCACAAACTGCTGAGCATGAGGTATTAATGGAGTGCTTTGCTGCCACCATAGCTTAATAGCTACAGCTGCAGCATTGTGCTCTTGTTTGGCTGGGGTTCATGAAAAAGGGGGATGCAGATCATGAAGTTTTATGTTAAGAGTGATTTAGAGATGCAGAAATAACAGTTGACTGTGCTAGATGGACAAAGCACTTCTGATTTAAAAGGAGCTATTATACCAGCAGAGCTGTGGTTTGTACTCGGGGTGGTACGAAGCCACCAACACTGGTCCACTTCATACAACCCCCAATAATCTCAATAAACTAAAGTTTTGTTAGTGTAATTGTGTGTGCTGGCAGGGCAGTGCTGGGGGAGAAGGGAAAATCATACCCTATCATCAGAGCTGGCTAGCAGATACAATAAAAGGAAGCTGCAAATTGATGCTTTTGGCTGGCTACAGGTGATACACAGCTCCTGGCCTGGTCTCTTCCCATCCACCCACCCATGAAAGTGCTGGAATTAAGAGGTGGGTGTTGCCCCAGGTCCACATGGGAAAGTACAAAGGGTAACTACTCAGCCCTACGGTGAGATGTTCCAGGTGGGAGGCCAGTTTCCCCAGTAGCTGATAAAGGAAGAGGCACATGTAGAGGGTGAAATCAGAGGGGAAGGGTAACTCGTGCACTCTGACTCACTGCTGCTGTGATTCACTCTTGCCCTTCTCTTCATTGAATACTCAAGGGAGAATGGCTGGTTATTAAGGCTGGTCCCATGCAAATAGTCCCCAGGGCACACTCTGCTTTTCCCTGGGAGAATGGTATTTGCTCTCTTTGGGCTGTAAAAATAAGTGCAGGACCAGTGTTGTCTCTAATTTCCTAGTCTAGTCTTGTATGCCTAAGTGTTAGGTGCCTCTAAGTCTACACCTGTGGGATTATTTTTTTTCCTAAGGTTTCTAGACCCTTACTACAATTCCTCTTATGCCAAGGGCTGCTTGTCTACTGTTGCTCTTCCTGCACAAGTGCAAACACATAAGAAAAGAACAAGTGGATCAGATAACTTAGCAGTGACTCTGCATTAGTGGCTTGGGGATAGTCACCCCTGTGGGGAGAAATGCCCCACCACATCATCCACGCTCACATCAGCTCCGCTTCAAACACTGGCATGGTCTTGTCTCTCTGGTAGCCCCTTTATCAGCCACAGAAACACGCAGGTGTTTCCTTCACCACCACACATCACTTTTTCTCTACACATCCCCACACATGCAAAGCACAGAGCTCTCAGCCTGTTCCTTTTCTTCTCTGTTACTCTCTCTTTTCCCCCGCAGCTTGGTTTGTTTGCTGCACAGCTCCCTGCCTACCTGTGCAGGGCCCCAGCCTTTGCAGGGTGCCATCTCTCTGGAGTCACAGGCAAGAGGGGCTCTGAAGGGGACGTTGGTGGCAGTGCCTCTGTGCACCAGGCAGGGCTGACATCGTTTTAGGGCCAGAGTAACCTGGGGGCTTTGTGGCACCGAGTGCTGGCTCTGGGGCACCTGTGCCTTCCTGTGTTATTTCACACCGCTGGCTGAATTTCCTGTCACCGTGAGGAGGGCAGGACTGCTGCTCCTCTGCTAGGGCTTTAGGGGTTGCAGCTTATCCCTTTCAAATGGTTGCTTTGTGCCTTGCTGTTCTTCTAGGTCTGTAAACATCTAAAGAGCAATGTATGAAATCTACAATATCTCGCATATTTTGAATTTAACTCGGTTCAAGCCAGGATCCACAAAAATGCATTTTAATTGAAGTAAATTTACCTATGTCCCTATCCTTTTTTCTGCTTCAAAAGCTCTGGCCTTCATGGCTGGCTAGTGCTCTTGAAGGACGTACTCTGCCCAAACACAAGTCTCACCTCAAAGCCAGTCAGCACTTGTCCAGTGACAAAACTGCTTTTGAAAATATTTATCTTATGCGCCTTTCTGTAAAGCTGGAGTTCAGCAATATGCAGCAAACAGGTGCTGCTGGAGGTCATACCACATTCAGGAAGCGATATGAAAATAATAACTGGAGGAACAGCACTGTTCTGAGCTGCTCACTCAGGAAATGTCAGGTAGTGCTGCTACTCTGCAGTGGCCCCTTGACTTCAGCTTCTTTACCCACACTTTCCTTTCTAGCTCTGCCTTCTTCATCCACCACCACCACCCCCTCAAAAGGCAAGGTCCCTCTCAGCCCCCTGGTTATGAACCCTCCCTACCATGCTACTGTCCCCCCCCAGCACTTAACAGCAGCCACGATATCATGCCTTTGGCTACTCAACACTGGCTTCTTAAAGCCAAGCTTTCACAGCACCAGCCAGAACAATGCCTAAGATTTGGGTACCTAAATTCTGCCTCCATGTAAACTGAAAGCTTGGCTTCTCCCTACCATGCTACTGTCCCCCCCAGCACTTAACAGCAGCCACAATATCATGCCTTTGGCTACTCAACACTGGCTTCTTAAAGCCAAGCTTTCACAGCACCAGCCAGAACAATGCCTAAGATTTGGGTACCTAAATTCTGCCTCCATGTAAACTGAAAGCTTGGCTTGGCAGCCACCCCACCCTTGAGGCAGGAAACTCCTGTGGTGCTGCAACTCTTTTTCTTTCCTTTTTCTTCTTTTTTTTTTTTTTTTTTCTTCAACTTTCAAGCTTCCTACCTGTGAGAAGTGCTGCTTCTGGGTGTGGGCAGACAGCTTCAATTTCACTGTCAGAGCAGCTCAGACAGAAGTTTGGCAAAGGGCAAAAAGCAGACAGGTTTTTTTGCCAACTGCCCCAAGGCAAAGGGGCTGGTCCAGGCAGGTGATGCAAGTTTGTTTGGTACTTAATAAATTGGCAAGTCATTTGGCAAGTCATTAATCCAGTAAACCAGATATGAGATAATAAGAGGATAAAGCTACTTTGATTGGTTGTTTATAAATACATTGGGGGTTGTTTTTTGTTTTGTTGGGTGGGTTTTTTTAAGCAAGCTCCTGGATGGTGCATACTGGTCAGTCCCTAGTAACAAACAACGGCACACACATCCCATCCCAGCCATGAGAAACCAGAGAGCTGACCCAGGGGACTAGCTAAAGCTGATGGACTCTGGGCTCAGCGAGAGGTAGAACAGAAACAAACTCTGGAGTAGCCAGCTGTGGGCAGTCAGTGACCTCCAGAAGGGACAGGCATAGGAAGGAGCAGCCAACATCACTTACTGCTTTTCCTGTTTTCCAGCTGCCGTTGTGCTGGAAAGAAGTAATCATCCTTCTCCAGGAGAGGAAGATGACAAGCATCACTGTGACTTTCCGACCTGCTTCTACATAGCGGGGTTAAATAAGCACTGGGACCGGGGATCAAATCCAAGAGCTGCCTGTTCTCAAGGGGATGGCCCCTCCTCCATCTGCAGAGGAGCAAAGGTAAGCCACCAGCACGGTGCCCACACCTGAGCTCCAGTCTGAAAACCAAAACAGCCTTCAACAGGAAGGTTGCTTAAGAACACCCTAGAGCTTGTGTCTCTCCTCCCACCACCCTGTAAATCTCTGCAGGTAGAAAGAACAGAGTCTGTGGGAGGCTCACCCCCTTTCTCAGGTACTCACTTCTCCCCATCTCACACAACCAGCAGCACCTCCTGGATGCCAGCCCAGCGCCAAGCTCACCAGTAGGGCCCAGCCATACGTAACTCCAGCTTGCCTTGGCTTTCAGGTGACAGTCTCAGCATTTTGCTCCACGTTGTCTCTGAGACCAGTGGAGCCCTGAGCAATTTTAAGTTAACCAGGGCAGAACATGTGGCAACTTGATGCCATCTTCTGCAGCCTCTGGGTCAGCTCTAGTGCATCCTCCTGCAGCTTGAGCAGAACATGAAAATCCCCCACACACGGCATGAAGCGTTCATAGCAGGCAAGCAGAAAAGAGACTTTTCTATCACCCCAAGCAGGTCTGCTGATACAGCCAGAAACTTTTGAGATTTGCCAGCATTTCTACAAGTGCGTAATGAGCTCACATTAGTTGTTCCTCTCATAAGCCTTCTACTAATGTTTGCCCTGCTCTTCCTTGTCTCCTGCTCCTTTTTGTCCTAATAAGCTCCTAGTCCTCTTCCCTGGAGCATCACTCAACACTCCCACCCTCCTCTACCCCCCACTTCATTGGAAGTTATCATTATCCTAGTGTCCTGCTATGCCCCCTATACCCCACATAATGATTTGTTCCCAAAGACTTTTAGGAACAAGGAAACCATTCCTCTGTAGTTCACACAATGCAAAACACAACAATTTCAGAGCAACAGGAAAAGTGCGCAAGCTGTCAAATAACCTGCAGTCTCTTCATCCAGCACTGTGGTCCTCAAACTTTTTAAAAAAAGAGGAAAGGTGGCTTTGAAAAGTTTCGTTTCCCCTTCTCATATTCCCCGTTTCTACCCAACAAAAGCACTATTCACTGTCTAATTTATGTCGAATCCCCAGAGCTTAAGCATCAGGTTTGTTGGGTTTTTTTGCAGTATTAAACAGTTTGCAGTACCTATTTTCTTCTCCCAATATTTACATTTTAATTTTCAGTGAAACTGAACCCTAAACTCTACCTGTGTTGACTCAAAGAACATACTACTCTCACCTCAGAGCTGAAGAGGCTGGACAGCTTTTGGGTGGGATAGTCAGAGCCAGCACATCCCGACACAACGGCTGAGGAACAGTTTTTTCTTTTGCTCCTACCTCTTGTCCTCCAGTTCCAGGTTGTATTCTGACACTCCCCAGAGAGAAAGTCACTGTTCTAGTAGAGGAAGGAAAAAAATAAGCAAGACAACAATCTGAGCCTTAAAGCCGTTACATCATCCAAATAGTGCATGCAGTTTATTTCTAAAACAGCTGGAATCCCATATTTGACAAAGTTGCAGACAGATGGAGCTTTCAGAACCAGGCTGACACTGAAGGAAACTTAAAACACTTTTGCTGGCAGAGCTACAGTCGTAAGGTGCCAAATTCCCTGCCAGACAGAGCTGTCATTCAAAGACCCTTGGTAAAGCTGGTGATACCAGCAAAACCTCTACTTTCACAAGGAGGATTTGGGGGGGTGAGGAAGCTTTGGCAGCAGAGATGTAATTTTTCCAGCCTGAAAACATCCCACATTAAGAGCATCTGGTGGGTCTATGGACTCAGTACTGTCACAAGAGCAAAAGCTTCAGGCATACCTTAAACCTATCAACAGGCACAAAACTCAAAAGGGAACTTGTCATTTACTTCTGATCCAGTATAAACAAGTGCACTTGCAGCAAAACATGTTCTTTGGACGATGACAAAGCACAGTTCAGAAATTCTTTGGTTGTTAGACTATGTGAAATGCCCCCTAATCTTTTTTTTCCCCTACATGGCGACAAGTGATAAAGTGATGTGGGAGGCTGAAAAAAGAGATGGTAGTGTAGTGCCAGGAGAGGGGACACGATTCCAGCAGAGAGCGGAAACAGCCTTTTTTTCAGAGCAAGCTCAGGCTCCAGCCCTGATGCACAGCAGGTGCTTCCCACTGCCACCGCAGCTCTGAGGGCTCAGCTGCATTCACAGGATGCAGCAGAACCTTGGTTTCCCCACAAGATTGCCAAGAGGGGTTAAAGCTTGTAGGAAAAGTGCCTACTGTCTACCTGAGGTGACATTTCAAGAGGTGAAGGAGGAACAGAAGAGGTTGTATCCTTAAATATCTACCATGTCGGTCCAAATTAAAGTCAGTGCTGGTTTCCAAAAACTGTAGTTAAGTCAGAACTGGTAATCAAGCACCCCTCCGAGTGTGTGCGTGTGTGTATGCACACATGTGTGTGTGTACCTTCTTCTGCAGGTATTTGTAGAGCACTTCTCTTTCCTCTGGGGGAACAGAAGAGGTTGTATCCTTAAATATCTACCATGTCGGTCCAAATTAAAGTCAGTGCTGGTTTCCAAAAACTGTAGTTAAGTCAGAACTGGTAATCAAGCACCCCTCCGTGTGTGTGTGTACCTTCTTCTGCAGGTATTTTCACTCAAAGTGCCCAGAATGAAGTCCCTTGTCATGTATGCCCTTTGGACTGGTCCTGTGCTGGCAGGGCAAGGAAGCCTGAACCATCACCAACTCTGCTGACAGTGGGTTTCTGGCTGAGAAGGATGTCTGTTCTCTTAAGCCAGAGAGCCTTTGAGGCACGCTCAATTCAGGTCATTAAAAAGAAAAAAAGTGACCCATTTCTGAATGAACACAAAATATGTCATCTGAAGGAACGGGGCAGAAAAGCAGGCCAAATTTGGCCATTTTAAAGAAATAAAAAATGGTCAATATGAAATTAATAACATTGTAACTGCCTGTTATATAGTTTTATTTGAATAATCCTCTACATGAATGTCAAAGCAGTTTATCCTGAAGTGAATACATGTATCTTCATCCGCAAACAGTGGACTTTTGTGCTTTCAAATTGTTTCCTGTTCTTTGTTGCTGTAAATAGGGCACGTATGAAAAGGAACAGCAAGAAGAATCACAGAAACTGTGCACCATAAGGGAGATTTCTACCTTTCCAGGTTATCTGCTCCGTTATTTTCTTTTTTTTATACAAAATTTTTGATACTTTAGCAGTTGGCCGATTTCTCTTGTAAAAGAGTTAAAAAAATAATCAAAGTGAAGATGTATATATTGGGATGAGAGTTATTTTCATTTTCTTTTATAAAATTTTTGATACTTTAGCAGTTGGTCAATTTCTCTTGTAAAAGAGTTAAAAAAAATCATCAAAGTGAAGATGTATATATTGGGATGAGAGAAAAAAAAAAAAGGTGGCAACAAATCAAGCCCATTATATGTAAGCAAAGGTATGTTACATTCACTTTCATATTCTCAATCAAGCATTGGAGCAGGCTGCCCAGGGAAGGAAAAAAAAAGGTGGCAACAAATCAAGCCCGTTGTATGTAAGCAAAGGTGTGTTACATTCACTTTCATATTATCAATCAAGCATTGGAACAGGCTGCCCAGGGAAGTGGTGGAATCGCCATCCCTGGAGGGATTTAGAAGATGGGTAGACTTGGGGCTGAGGGACACAGTTTAGTGGTGGTTTGGGCAGTGTTAGGTTGATGGTTGGACTTGATGATCTTAAAGGTCCCTTCCAACCTAGACAATCCTATGATTCTATGAAATTGCAATGTATGATGACCTGCTATGAGGCACAAAAAGAATTTGCTGAGAGGACCATTAAATTTCTTAGCAGTACTGACACAGAATTTCAGACAAATAGAAAAATGCATAGCAGGCCAGAAAATGTTTTTTTCCTCCAGACTGGACCTGGTAAACTGTATAAATCCTACTTTTTACAGAAACCTGCTGCACTATCATGCGGTTGTCCTGACAGAAAAGACCCAACTTACAGGTTCTACTTTACAGCTAGACATGAAAGGGGAAGCACCAAGGAGAAAGGGCCTGCACTTCCCTTTTTCCTGCAAAGAATTTCCAGCTCACCAGAGATGGGCTGCAGAAGGAGAGAAAGACAAGGGCACCAGAAAGGTATGGTCTCAGCCTCAAAAGTTACACAGAACTTCATGACAAGACCCAGTTGGACAAAACTGAACTGTTCTGCCTGTCCAGGCCCCGGGCAGAGCTTCCAAAAGCACGGATCCCAGCAGAGGCAGATGAAGGGACAAAACACATGTAAGAGAGAGAAAGCAGCACATCGCTCCATTCACAGTGGCCTTTCCATAAACACTGTTAGACTCCGAAAAGAATAATTTATAGGAAATGGACAGAAGTTTTCTACAGAACAGGTCTTAAAAATACCCATTTTACAAATAAGCATTTGTGAAAAGGAAAAAAAAAAAGACCCCACAAAACATTACACAAATATTATTTGGTATGTATTTTCCTGTATTTGGCAGAGGGATGTTTTTAAGAATAATCTTTGATTGTTAAAAACCTGTAAAAGTCCATGAAGAAAAGAAGTCTGATTTCATCATGTACTGCTGGGGCTAGGAGGGAGTGTTTGCAGTGATGTATTCAAGTTGCAGTTCATGATTTTTGAAGCTGGCTGAGCTGATGTTAGAAAAAGTCCACAGTTCTGATAGAAGGAGGTAAAAAAGACTTGGGTCAGCTTATCCAGGCACAAATCAGTTTGTAACAGATCCTTTGTTAAACAAATCATCCTTGGAAGTTAAGAATCAGGTAGGAATTTGCAGGATTTCCCTTCTGTAAACAGACAGAGGAAATCAGAAGCGTTTTTTCCATCCCTCTGAAAGGTGAACCAAATGACTCTCCAAATGAGTTTTAAATTGACTTACTGCAAATAGCTGGAAATGACCACAGCCCAGCTTGTGAAACAGGAGTTGTCTTTTTCTGTAAAGCTCATAAAAATCATGTTCTCCATTATAAACTTCTTGGGGGCGGGGAGGAAGGAAATGGGGGCAGCAAAAAAACTTTGGTTCACAACATTGTTTTGCACAGGCATTCAGGTAGATCTTCAAAAGCTACTGGCTGCCCAGGCTAGTAACAAAATACCCATGCTCTCTCTTCAGTAGTGGACGCTCCTCTTTGGTATCCTATTTTGTAAGGCCGACGTCTTGCAGAAATGAAGGAGTCATACAGATGCATCTTTGAAAAGAAAGACGGTGTCACTTGTGTTGCTACAAACAAATTAATCTACTTGATCCAGGAACACACAGGAAAACTTCTTTTGATAGGGGGTGGGGAGGGAGAAAACACTGATACATTCACTACTTGCTAGAAGCAAGTTACTTGCTCCTGTAGTTAGTTAATAGCTGTCAGTAGCCGTGATACTCTGTGTTGACAGAAAATATGGAATTATTGCTTTGTGAGTAATTTTGAGTAACAAGGAACAGGACATTAATAAATCCTTCCAGGTAGACACAGCCCTGTGGCAGAAAATATAAATATTCATTTTGGGAAGCGTTCTGGCAGTTACTAAGCATGATACTTACTTGTTGACTGAGTGATGCACGAAACCTTGTAGGATGACCATATGCTCATAACACAAAGGATGGTAGCTAGGAACCCGAAAGTCTGGATGAGAAAACAAACACACCACACATATTTACAGAACATTAGATGACACACATTCCATGAAGGTATGGACACCCTTGTATATCCAGCTACATGTTTTATGATGTTAACATAACCAAAAAGTGATAAAAGTGATTTTTTTTTACTCCATTCTGCCAATATGCTAAAAAAATAGAAGTTTCCATAGTATAACAACAGCTTATGTCTTGTCAAAACAATGAATGAAAAATAGACTGAGTCATATACAACAGGGCAGTAAAAGCTGGACAGCAGCAGTGTCACCTTCTAGACTTCTCACTAGGATTCTGCAACAAAAAAAGACTTTTCCTAACATGTCTGATTACTGCTCTTTTACTGCCCCATTCAAATCTTTCCCTGCCATCTGCCAAATAAACAAGTCAGGTAAGTCTTCTAGTCCATTAGCATCATGAGGACTAAGTTTCTGAAAGTAATTCTTTATTCTGGAGAAGTTGTATTTCAGGTCCTGCTGCTGTGAAAATACTGTTGCCCACACTCAGGAGTCATGTCTGTCCCTATAAAGCCCTCCAGCCAACAGAGGCAGAGAGTATCTTCTGGTAAATCAGCCCAGGATCTCAGTGGGTTTTAGCTCAGCAGAAATGACCTTGAACAGGGCTCAGTTCAGGAGCAGGACACATCAAAAGCCAAAGACTGGAGTGAAACCCTTTAAGTAACTTCTAGCTGCTACAACAGCTGTTTGTCAAAACAGAATTGTGTCAATTCTTTCCCTAAACACATTAATTCCTATGAGTTAAAGCAGCAGCCTTTGGTTACAACTCTCTGACAGGACAAATATCCACTTCAGTAGTGAGTCTGGAGTCTCACAACAAAATATTTTTGTTGGCATCCTGTTACAGAACATTCACTGAAATGAGCTAGAAGGTGGCTCCCCCAACGAGGACACAAGCAATACAAGTCTGTAAGAAAATAAAATTACAAGCAAAAGATTTCCAATGGCCTACTTAATATACATTGCAATTTAAAAAGTGTCAAGACTAATAAACACAGTCTTACCGCGCCAGCCACAAGTCCAGTCAAATTGTAACTCTTGGATGCTGCTACAATCGATGCAATGAGAAGCAGAATTGTACCGATTAAATAATGAAGAAACTCCTGTGAAGACAAGCATAGCCTGCATCAGAAGAGAAACTCAGCAGGAAAGCATTTTGATATGCATCAGAATGAAAACAAGTTAGTAGAGGAAAAAACACCAGTCAAAAGAAAAAAAAATTGAAAGGTTAAAAAAAAGAAAAAAAACACCTTGTGAGTGGATTTTGTACCACACCTGACTTTTTATTCAAACAAAAAGAAAAGAAAGAGCGCCAATCTTCAGGTCTACTAATGTCACTGGAATAAGATCTACTTACTGGGTATGGATGCAATCCTTTCAAGTCAGCATGGTACATTACTGAGGGTGAAACATGTATCTTTATTGCATCAAGTATGCACCCTACTTAAAGAGATAGTTCTGGAAGAAGAAGCCTTAAAGGCATATTTCTCAAGCCTATGTGAAATGGCAACAAATCCCAGCAAATGGCTTATGCAGGAAACCAAATGCTCCTACTTCTGATCATCTTAGAAATTAAGCAGAAGATCTACTGCTGGATTTACTAACAACTTACAACTTACATCAACCAAGACTGGAAACAGGAGGGAAGCTATGAAAAGCACAACTGCTCAGACACTCATAACCAACACCCAGGCTCCTAAGTCTGTAAAGGTGGCTGCAGCTGTCCCACAGTACAACGTGATGCCACGGCTTTTTCTGAGACAGCACCGAGGGACCACGTTCAAGCTCTTCTTCAGTGTGACGAGTATCAGTTCAGGAGTCAATTGTACCTTGTTATAAGCAGGGGTTACCTGTGGATTTAGATTTTGGATCCTCACAAAGCTCATGGTAACCAATATCGATGCTTGCAAACCGAACATGGGTTCTTTCGCATGGTGGGGCGGGCAGGAGGTTATCTGCTTACTTTATCTGCACTGCACACCAGCAGGAGACAGGCAAATGCCATGTATAAGGGAGAGAGATTCCCTCTCAAACTAAAAGAGAGAAAGTACAGTCCCAAAAGGAAATTGTTCAAGCAAATCCCAGAAGAGAAACAGCCTATCATACCATACATAGTTTGCCTCTGCTCAGGATCTTTGCCATAAAACAGGCTCCGAGGCTGCAACCTCCTTCCCTCACTTGCAACCTTGTTTCAGGTAACCCTTGCTTTTGCTGGAATAAATTATTTCCATGAGGAGGCTTCTCTGGCTAGGCCACAATGCAGTAGACAAATTAGACATGCCATGGCTTCCTTTGAGACACCAGATGAAGCCGTCTACACAGGCCATTACAAAGAATCATCAAAGGCTAAATTAGCTGGAGAACCAACTCCTGGCAGGGCTGGGAGAGTGTCCCTCTGGAGAAACACTTCCAGGCTTTAAAAGGTCTCAGTGCTGAACAAACTTTTGAACCACTGCAACTTTACTGACTGCAAATCCCACCCCTGACTGCAAGGTAGAGATCCTGCCAGGAAACTCAGCCAAACACTAGTTGTACTTTCCCAAAGTCTCTTATAGGTCTTCCCACTCTGTCCTACAGATACTTAAATATGTGACTGAAAAGGAGGTTGGTTGTAAAAGGGCAGCAATGTTCAAGCATCACATCCATAAAGCTCTCGGAAGCCGAGCAGCCACAAACTGCAGTGCCTTAAACTCACTAGTGACTCTGGAACATTTAGGAATGATTAAACACACAACAAAAAAGCAAAAGCAGTCTATGCAGAGGTCAAAATGGCATAGTCCTGTTACAGTAATGCACACATTAAACACTGCTTTGCAAAACTGTCGTTTATTAGCTTATTTCAATCTCTTTTTTCAATCCCTGCATCTGTATTATCTCTAGATAAAAAAGTACTTTCTAGAGAAATATAGTGCTGGTATACATCTAAAAAAATAAGAAAGGGCACAAGTCTAACCATGTTCTTCAGCTAAAAAGGAAAAGAACATTAAACTTTTCTTTCTGGCTAGAAGTGGATGGATGGACAAACCATTATCTTAGATCTATAAACTACTTACATAGCATCCCTTAAGCACCTACTACTTCTTGGATTTCAGTAAGTAAGACATGTTCTAAGAGGTTATTAAAATCCATCATCCCACACTAGGATGCAGGACTCTTCTGTTAGCTGACATGACCCGAAGCTACTAAGGAAGTTCAGGTCTCACATTTTCTGTGCTGCTTGTTAGTTCTCTGTGAGGATATGAGAGATGGATGTACAGGGGAAACGTGGGAATGAGGCAGGAACATCCTGCAGGATATCCCAGGAATGGCCAGGCTATGGCAATCAAGCTGAGGCTCCTATTTCTTGCTATTGTTTAAGTTGCCTAAAACTATACCAAAAAGAGACACATTTGACTTAAATAGCACTCATAAACATTATTTTAGGACAGGACAGGATGTAGTACATGAATTCTAATGCTATGATTTCGTACTCCAGCAATCCCCCTGCTATAAATGACCTGAGCTAAGATCCATCTGCTGGAGGCTTGATAATCAGTCACTTCTTTTCAGTTGTCTCAGTGTAACACTATTGCCTGGAGTAAACCCGGACTTATATTTGTGTAAAGGAGGACTGGATCAGATCCAAATCAGCTAAAAATTTAGTATTACAGCATCTGCTGAAGTGAGTACTAATAACAAAGCAACAGAAGGATTTGTATACAAGGCAAAAATTAATTATGTTGAAAGACAGCCTATTGTTTTGTGATAGCACAAGAAAATGGACTAAGTAATTGAGACACCAACACACAAGTGAGGCAAGCAACCCAGACCATCCAAGAGGCTTACCGCAAGTGGCCAGCTAACGCAAGTGAGCTTCCTGTAGATTCTGAAAATGTGGATAATGTAGAAGAACAAAATCATAACCAAGTCGCACATGCTGACAATCTGAAAGTAGCTGTATGCACTGTAATCCGTCCAGTGAGAGCTATTTACACTGATGAATCCAATCAGCAGTGAGATCTGAAAGACAAAAGGCACATTAAAGATTTTTACAATGGTGCTCAGAGGGCCATGGAGATGATTTTAAACACAACAAAATGGCACTTAGAAACAGAAGACAAATATCTAATGTAAACTGGATGATCCCAACAAAATGGAGGACAAAGTAACAAGCACGGTAATAATGTTTTAAAATTTGCTGTTAAATGAGCTAAAACAACCATTAAGAATAGGGAAAGACCCAACTGCTAGAAGGAGAGCAGCAGTTTCAGCCTGAAGAATCCAGCCTGAAGAAGTCTCTGTGTACAATACAAGAGGTCTCAAACAGAGAAGAGGCACTGAATGCCTGGAGCTGCACCAGCAACTGAAGCATCTACACCCCATTGACTTTCATAAGAAAATCACCGAAAGCTGTAAAACTAAAGTGCTCTTGAACACATGTACCTTTACTTCCATTTAGTGGGAGTTCTCACATGCAAAATTGGAGGACCTCACTGTGACTGAGCTAACAGCTTTACTCTTCCTTTTGTACCACCTACAAAGCAGAAGTATTAGCAGACCAGACAGTAGTATAATAGCAAATTATAAATACAAACATTTGGAGGAACTGCTTAATTCACTCCACTCCCAATACAATAGTTATAAAACTTTAATATGTTAACATCGTCACATAAAACTATAAAGCATAATTGTATAACTTTCAGTTGTAGGCTTGCAAAGGACAAAAGCTATTCTATTTTTTTTATCTAAAGCTAGTTGTTCATTTTACTAATCTTGCTGCTTCTACCAGCCTGGCTAGCCTAGGTGATAAAAATAAATCTACCAAGGATATATCCAAATATTTTCTTATTACAGACTTTGTAAATGCAGGCTTTCAGTCACTGCAATTTTCAGTTCATCCAAAGTCAGCCGGGACCAGTAATGATTCACATTTTAAGTGTTTCTACAAGACATTAAAAAAAAAAACCAAAAAAACCAACTATCTGAGGAAGCCAGCACTTCAAGACTGCAGCATCCTTTCTCGCACACTCATCTTCCAAATTCCTAACCGCATCCATTATCAGAATAATTTCCTTAAGATTAAAAGGGAAAAAAAACCACCAAACAACGCCCCAGCAACATCGCTTAGATTCTTGCTGCTGTAGTTTTAGCTGAGTTTGACCTGCTCAGTTCTTAGTGGAAAGGCTAAACATAAACATCCACAAGTGCAATCAAAGGCTCTATAACACATAAGAATTTCACAAAAACTTGTCACTTTGGCCAAACTCCATATAAACAGCCACATCAATGTAGCAAAAGTGAATCACCTCAAAAAGGTGGCTCCAAAGAGAAAAGTCAGTGCTCCAGGACCCTTTCCCACACAAGTGGCTAAGCTGCTGTTAGATCTAGTCTGGCTCCATTATTTTTACTGTGGTAGTCCAAGTAGTTGATGTTAACATCGTAAGCAATCCTCAGTCCAAGCCAGCAACAGGCTTCTGCACTACAGTAAGCCTACATCTCCTCCCACCTTTGAAAAAGATGTAGGGAAGACAGGACTTTGAGATGCAGGGCTAGATCATGCTCAGTGATTCTCACGAATGGAGGTTACATGTGCCTTTGAAAATACATGATATTGCTCAGTCCCTGTCCCCCCAAATATGTTCCTTCCCTCTGGTTTGGGAATGAAACATCGTAGCAGCATCCTGCCTGTTTAATGCTTCTGTCTGTGCCATACCTGTTCTCTGGGTCTCACAGCCTAGCCACTGGGGAATCCTAAATGTACAATGTCCTGCATCTTGTGCATGGCAGAGCTTTCTGAGATCTCTTAGAAGACAACAAAGCAATGTTCTCCACGAGTCAGCATTTAAATACTTCTGGCGCAATTCTTAAATTCCGAGATAATTTTAATGATGTTTTATCCAATCTCTCTCTACATACACTAGGTCTACATTAAGCCATGGTTTCACAGAATCGCCTAGGTTGCAAGGGACCTTTAAGATCATCTAGTCCAACCTAAAACAAAACAAAACAAAACAACATAAAACCAAACCACAAACACCAACACTAAACCATCTTCCTGAGCACCATGTCAACTTGTCTTTTTAACACCTCCAGAGATGGTGCCTAAACCACTTCCCTGGGCAGCCTGTTCCCACGCTTGATAACCCTTTTCAGTGAAGAAATTTTTCCTCATATCCAATCTGAACCTCCCCTGGCACAACTTGAGGCCATTTCCTCTTGTCCTGTTGCCTGTGACTTGGGAGAAGAGACTGACACCAGCCTTGCTACCCCCTCCTTTCAGGTAGCTGGAGAGAGTGGTAAGGTCTCCCCTCAGCCTCCTTTTCTCCAGGCTGAACACCCCCAGCTCCCTCAGCCTCTCCTCATAAGACTTACTCTCCAGACCCCTCACCAGCTTCGTTGCCCTTCTGTAGACCTGCTCCATCATCTCAATGTCTTTTTTGAGGTACGGGGCCCAAAACTGGACACAGTACTCAAGGTGGGGCCTCACCAGTGCCCAGGACAGGGGTTTCATGAGGGGCCATGGCCTTCTCACCCTGATTTCTCTCCCTGTCCTGTGCTGGCTCCCCCACTCATCTGTGCTGAGCCCCCTCAGTGGACTAAGCCAGCAGAAAAGTGAAATACCAAAAAAAGCAAATAGTTCTCCTCTGACTCTTCCATTTGCACAAGGCAGGGTCAGGTGAGCAAGGGAACGTGATGGAGAAGCTAGGACTCCAAGGGAAAGGAGAGGAAAGCCTGAGCCAGCAGGATGGCAGCAGCTAGTAGCCGTGATGGCTCAGGCTGCTGCACACCATCCATCTCAGTTCCTTGAATCTTAATGTCGCCTGACTTAGCTGTTGAATAACTTGAACAATCAGAAGCAGGTCATTTACCCTATAAGCTAGGAGAACACTTGAAGTGATGCGAGACGCACAGGTATTCTTTTAATGAGAAAACAAAAAATAAATTTAATGATATTTCATCCTATAGGAAAACTCAACAGGAAGTCACAGCAAGCATTGAATCTTGCTCTTGCATAAAGGTGGGATGAGGACAACACTCCTCTAACCATCAAAGGCTAAAAGGGGTCTCCTTTATTCGGGTGCCTTCACCATCATCAGCTTCAGTTACACTGTACGTATCAAGAAGGAAGCGTTGATTCACAGAAATATTAAATCTGCCTATTGGCTCATTCGATGCTTGAACCATTAACTTTATCAATTTTTTTACTGTACAAAGGATAAGAAACACTGGATCCTTGAAGTACAACTACTATAAAAATGTGTGGCAAGAGATATTTCTTTCAAAGACTTCCTTTCCTAGCATAAATTTCACATGAGATTTACATACAATTTCTAAAGAGGGTTCTCTGATCGCACATAATCCTATTTCACTGGACAGGTGCAAAGGGAACCATATCAACAACTTTGTACAAAGCTATACCATGTTTGCCACATTATATTGCCTGCATGGCCACCAGGTACAGTCAGAGTTTAAAACTCACCCGCTGAGAAAGAATGCTAAAAAACATAGGAAATAGAGCCACATAATATAACTTGTCCTTTAAAAGTGACAAATACCAGAGTTCCTTCACCAGATACTGGTTTATCATGATATACTGAGTGATGACTGTATTTTTTTCCCTCTGGAATTCCTGTTCCCAGAGAACTTGAAATTGAGCGATAAAATAATTAATATGTACCTGTCTGGGATATAGTTCAACATATATCTTAGAAGTCAGTTTGTGGCACAGAGGCGGGCAGCAGTACATGCCCACCAGCCAAGAGATTACAGATACTTTTTTTCTCACTAGTGCCCTGAGGGTAATGAAGGAATTATAACCTAAGAAAGGACTGGTTTTGCCCTCCATATACCCATAAACCAGCTGGCACCACTAAGCACTTTCTGGCCCTGTGACAGAAGTCAGTCGTTTATCTGACCACAGAACAATTTTACAACCCAGGAATCAATCTGTGCAAGTGCTTTGTATGATCTTTTTCTACCGTCCTGCTTTAATGGATGTCATAAATAAAGCTCTGGCTTTATTACCGATACTTAATTCTTTTGTAACATTTGGAGAGAACTAAAATTTCCTCAGACACAGTTACCTGGACAAACATAAATCCAGCATGATCTCCAATATTGACAACCACCTACTCTAAAGGAAAGCCTAATGTTCTGAGCATTAGAGATCCATTTCCACAGACAAACAACCAACACAAGGGAGGAACTGAATGTCACTAGCTCTTGAATTCTGACCCCGGTTTTGTAACCATCTTACTGTCTGAACTTGTAAATCATGTATTTCACTGCTTCAGCTCCCCCATTCGCCAAATAAGAGTAATAAACACTTCACATGCACTGTGCTAAAGTTTTTCGTCTTCAAAACACTTTTGATGTGTAAAATAAGGCAAAAATGTTGAGCATCGCTCAAGGTGGTTTGCTGTCATTACACCACACAAGATGGTGCAACCTGGTCTAGTGGGGGGTGTCCCTGCCCATGGCAGGGGGGTTGAACTCGATAATTGTTAAGGTCCCTTCCAACCCAAACAATTCTATGACTCTAAAAAGAAAGAGGAAAAAAAAAAAAAAAAAAAAAAAAAAAGAGAGCCCAAGCTCACCATGAAATGGGAATTAGTATTTATTTCCTGACTGTCACTTATTTACTCCACAGTAGACTTTGATATCATGTGTTAAAAAAAATGCACCGAGCACAAGACATTGCAAATAAACTCCTGGTTTCTAACTGGAAATCACAATCTTTAATGCTACGGCTACTATTCATCCTTTTGACCATTCCTGACTGTTCCCTATCGCCCATTTTCACTTGCCTGGTACCCCGCTGTTCTCTCACAACTCTATTAATGACTGTGAAGTAAGGGTTATCCTTCCCACTGTGCCTGTCCAGCACCCCGTACAGTGGCGATGTGCTGAGCGTGGCTGGGATGGTGCTGCCTTCACAGCAGCCCGTACGGCGCTGTGCTTTGCATTTCTGTTTAAAACAGTGTTGATAACACACCAGCCTTTTGGCTGCTGCTGAACAG